TGTGGGGAGAGAGGGAGCATCCCTCTTAGAAGGATCCCAGTCCCATCAGATTAGGGTCCTGCCCATCGACCTTATTTCACCCCAATTACTACCCCAAAAGTCACATCTCCAAATACTATCTCACTGGAGGTGAGGGCTTTCACAGGTGAGTTTGGGGGAGACAGAATCATGCAGTCCATTCCTAGGTCACATTGTTTCTTTCTTCACATGCCTGGTAATTTTTATTCAATGCCAGACATTGTAAAAGTTATTTTTTTTGTATTCTTACACATGTTTTTATATTCTTATAAATATCCTTAAACTTGTTCTGGGATGCAGTTAAGTTATTTGGAAACAGCTTGATATTTTAGAAGCTTGCTTCTAGGCTCTGTTAGAAGCGGATCAGAGGAAACTTCAGGGCTTATCTTGGCACATTACTGGGGCAATAACTTTCTGAGTGCTCCGCATGCTGTCATGAGAACTTGGGGGTTTTCTACTCTGGTTGGCGGGAGCATTCTGGCCTGCATGAGCTTCAGGAATTGCTTCCTCTCCTCTTTCTGGGTGGTTCTTCCCCTGGTGTGGCAGCAGTCCCCACATGCATATGCACTCATTAGTATTGGCTTGAAGATTCCAGGAGGACTTCCTGCAGGTTTTTGGAACGTTTCCTCTCCAACACTATCTTCTCTAGGGCACTCTGCAAGTTCTAGATGCCTGGACTCTGCAGACTTGCGGAACCTTCTCCACAATTGAGGGAGATCTCCAGGCTCCATCTGGGTTCTTCCCTCTGAATTGGGGCTGGAAACTCTCCAAACAATAAGCCTGGGCAGTCATAAGGCTCGCTTTCATTTGCTTCTCGTTCTCAGGGATCCCTGCCCTGTGCTGTCAGTGTCCACTGTCTGGAAAATGTTGTGTCCGTAGACTCTGTAAAGATTCTTTCCACTGTTTACTCCAGCTTAGTCTCTTTATATAGACAATGCTTACGACCTTTGGATGCTAAGGTGACTGAATTGAATGAAATGATCCTGCTTATAAACTCTGTGTGTAAGAAAAGGGATGTGCTGGCTCTTTTTGGATGTTTCATGACCTATTTCTGATGTAGTTATTAATAATTGTGAAATATTAGTAAAAGGTAATTTAATAAATAATATTATCTATCAAACTTCCTTTTTACATACAGTGCTTCCTTTAAACCATGTATATATACCAATTTATCCTTATAGCCCTTGGGACATTTTTATGTGTTAGAGTTTCCCACTTGTGTGCAGTCACCCGTGTTTGTGGCCATCTGTGAGAATGGTGTAACTCTAGTCACTCTTGTATCTTTTCCTGCAAAGATCCAAGTAGTATTTCTGACCCTGCATTCATGGATTTTAGTATCCTCCACAGCGTGATTGCTACAGAAATTCTTTAGAGATGGAAATCTAATAAAAATTCTTAAAGTTTATCTCGGGAAATGGATGTTTTCTTTAGTAAAGTCTCCAGAATGCAGATAGGAAATCCATGCAATATGAACTTTCCTCTCTTAGTGATTACCAGATAAAGAGAAAACATCTAACTGTGATCTCACAGAGGTCAGGCCCACACGCCATTGTGCATTTATGAGAGATCACAACATTCAGCGAGAGTATTGTGTACATATTTAAGAAACCACAGATGGTGTCTTTTCACATTAAAGGGCAACAGATATGTATATTTTCTTTCAACATGCTCTATACCGTAATCTTCCTTTCTATTTCACAGTATCCCAAGATTCAAAAGTCTTGAAAGTAGATGAAGAAACTGAAAACACAATGAGAGTTACCTGGAAGCCAGCCCCTGGGAAAGTGGCCAACTACCGTGTGGTGCACCGCCCACGCAGGGGGGGGAGACAGATGGTTGCAAAAGTGTCCCCCACGGTCACCTCAACAGTGTTAAAGCGACTTCAGCCTCAGACCACATATGACATCACAGTTCTCCCGATTTACAAGGCAGGAGAAGGAAAGCTTCGGCAAGGATCAGGGACAACAGGTACAAAACAGTAATTTTTTTGGAAGAGTGTGGAGTATCTTGAAGGAAGACTTTAAGATAGCTACTTACTTTGGGAATGTGTAGAAGTAATTCTGTAATAAATTATAATAATTAGATAGGATGCCTAATCAGCATATTATTTTTACCAGTGTGGTTCCTGGTAGAATGATTCTATGTATTTATGTTCTGCTGGGCTCATATACTGACCTGTGGGAGTTATTTACATGTCCACTTGGGTGGCATTCCCTTATCAAGATTTTTATTGGGTGTTACATCTTGGGCTATTAGACTTAACCGTTTTTATAAATGTACATTTCGAAGCATTAGGTTTGTGATGCTTCCCACTATCACTCAGATATTTCTAATTTGATGGTAATTGTAGGCGCTAATAAAAAAAAAACCAGAGCCTTGTCTTCTGGATAATATTTTAAAATCTTTGTATCTTCACAGCTTCTCGATTTAAGTCACCCAGAAACCTCAAAACATCTGACTCCACCATGTCGAGCTTCCGAGTGACCTGGGAGGCCGCCCCCGGGGAAGTGAAGGGTTATAAAGTCACATTCCACCCCACGGGAGATGAGAGAAGACTGGGGGAGTTAGTGGTCGGGCCGTACGACCACACCGTTGTCTTGGAGGAGCTGAGGTAGGGGTGAGCTGCACTCGGTTTGTGTCAGCAGGCCGGGGTGCTGTGAATCGGTAGGTCCCGGCTACCCACTCACGCGCCTGTTTGCCAACAGGATATTTAGTCAGCAGAAGTTGGTTTCTTATTCTTGGTGCTGCCGAACTTGAGGTTAGGATTCTGAGGCTAGCAACAGAATGTAGGCCTGAGCAGGTTTTTTTGATAATGTTTTCATGATTTTTGCTGTTCAGTGATCAGAAATGGCACTTTTTACATGAATACCCTACTATGAAAACAGTAACTTCTGTCTTACATGATTTCACCAAAATCAGCCTTTCCTAGCCAGCCCTGTGGAAATGTGGGGGTTCCTGAGTCTCCCAGGTGACCTACACTGTGAGGCGGAGGGGGTGCCAGTCCCCCTCCGGGTCTTGCTCTGGGCTGTGCAGCGGACAGCGAGGGGGCCTGGGCTTGCGCGGGGCCCTGCATTCACGGCAGTAAAGGACGCACCAATGTGTGTCGCCTTCTGAGAAGTCTGTTTCAACCATCCACTCAACCATGTTAGTATCTATATAAATGCTCACTATTTACTTCTATCAGAGTAGTGGGGTGACGTTTACCGAGCCTTCTGGGAGCCACGCGTCATGCTCGGTCCTTTATATGGCCTCGCGAGGTACACATTCAGATTATTTTCCGAGAGCCCACCCCTGAGAGGCAGTGGGACAAGGGCGGCTGGTCCTGCGAGGCCTGCTCGGTGCGCGGCAGGGACGCGGCATCTGCAGGAAGACGAGGCCGGGGCTGGTGCTCGGAAGCCTGGCTTGTTCACTACTTCCCCTGATGCCTCAGTCTGTACACTCCAACTAGAGCGTGGTGGAAGTTATTTTTCTTTTCTTGCCATGTTGTGCCTTGTAAGTTCCTCTGTGAAAGTTTGCAAATCAAGATTAGTATCTGTAACAAAGCAAAACATGCTACCGCTTGAGCGGATTGTACCTACAGATGACATATGTTAACATTGCAGGGCAGGCACCACGTATAAAGTCAATGTCTTTGGAATGTTTGATGGAGGAGAAAGTTCCCCACTTGTTGGACAAGAAATGACGACCCTCTCAGACACGACTGTCACACCCCTTTTATCCTCTGGTAAGAAATTGGGTTACAGTCCCCTTGGGAAACCACATACTATGAAACTTTTTCAGGTGTGAATCATTAGGTTAATCACACAATGAGACGTGACTATAAAAATTTTACCCTACTGTGTATTTAAGTGATTTATATACTTAAAAAAATTTCTTCAAACACTTGTGACAGTATTTTTTTAAGGCTTTTCTTCACGGCATTGCATGAGTTGCATGGCACTGTATTATTTAAAAATGAGTTCTTACAGTGGTAGATAATGTACATTTTCTCCCTTTTTAATGACTACAATGTAGTTTTATTTTGTTAGTGTAACTGCAGAAATGGTTTGTTTGGGTGGAGCAAGCAGAGTCGGGTTACGTAAATAGGTGGGGAACCACTGCTTGGGAAAGAAAATGGTAACATCAGCTCTTTAGATTTTTTCTGCTCCTGCCATGATCACACGGAGGTAGACGTGGGGGGTGTAATTTATTTCTAAATATTTTCCATCATTTGTGAACAAAGAGAGTAGCTCCGGGCAGAGCAGGAAGAAGCTTTGCAAAGGTTCTCCGAGTAGCATTTGGAAGCCCTCCGCCCTGACGTGTACGATATGTAAATGATGCCTTTAGCCTAATGAGCATCACTTAATTTTTCTCAATGAGTTTTTGTTTTTTTTTCTGTAACGTAAAGATCAGATGTTAACATGTCAAGAAGTTGGAAAATTCATAGCTGGTAACATAAGCTCCTGGAAGAGAGAGCATTTGAAAATAAGGATGTGGGTAAAACCAATGAAAGTGTCTATTCTTGCTGTTTTGCATTAATGTTCTGTTGTTTCTCCTATGATGATATTAACTGACTCATATTTTTATTTTGTAGCTTGTGCACTGAGGATATTGGGATTGCTCTCTGCCCAAAGCTCCTAGCTTTGATATTCATGTTTGTGCTTGTTGCCTGTACAGCTCTCAATTTGTGTTTTTGTTTGCATACTTTTTCTAAACTGCCTTCCTTCTCTCGATTTTTTCAATGTGCCCACTTCACCATCTATATTTACCTGATCGTTATACGTAGTAGATGATAAATAAGTAAATGCCAACTAACTAGTAGTTACCGGGTTCTGAAACAGTGTATGTATCTTTAATTTAAGAAGGTCTCACTTAAGTCATGTGTGTAATCTTTCATAATATGTGTTATCATTACCCAGGAGCTTAATTATTTTAAAAGATATTTTTGGCTCACTAAAACATCTAGCTTACACAGTTTGTCATTCATCTCATATTCGTCTTCTAATGACCATTAAACATTAAAGAAAATTGCAATATCTGTCTTTCGATCACAGTTAAGTTTTATTAAAATTATTAATGTAGTTAGCAGACAACTGTGCATTCTCCCTTTGTTCAGCTCTTGGGTCTGTGAGCCCATTCAAATTTACAATGATGGTTTAATTTAAGTCTCCGGGGTCCACAGCTATGGCCAGGAAGTATAGTCATATGTGAAGGAAAGATTTGCCAGTGAAATACTTATGGGAAGAATCGATACTTTCTAGGACTGCTGTTTCAGCTTAGTGAATCAGACGGACCTGTCTTCGGGGTCTCGAATCGCCACTCACTGAGCTGAGCCTCCCGAGCGGAAATAGTCAGGCAGTGTTGAGCAGCCAGAGGGTGGCAGGGGCACGGCTGGGAAGTGACCTCGTTGAGGACTTGCCCCTCACTCTGTCCTGCCTCCCGATCGCTGTGTCAGGCATGGAGTGTCTCACCAGAGCTGAGGCGGACGTGGTATTGCTGGTCGATGGATCGTGGAGCATCGGCCGGACAAATTTCAAAACCGTGAGGAGCTTCATCTCTCGTATCGTGGAAGTCTTTGAGATCGGCCCCAAAAGAGTACAGATCGGTAGGTCTGGCGATCTCGGACACATTCAGCCATTCTCCCTGTGCTCCTGTGCATATGCTGATGCCACCCGTGTCCTTTCAGCCTTGGCCCAGTACAGTGGGGACCCCCGGACCGAGTGGCAGTTAGACGCTCACCAAGACAAGAAGAGCTTGCTGCAAGCAGTGGCGAACCTGCCCTACAAGGGCGGCAACACGCTCACAGGTGAGTCAGGACGGGCTGGGGCACTCTCAGCTCTGGTCCAAGCTGGTGGCTGAAGGGCGCTACGACTGATTCTCTTTTAAAAACCCCACTAGGCATGGCTTTGAATTTCATTCGCCAACAGAACTTCAAGGCCCAAGCTGGCATGAGGCCTCGAGCTCGAAAAATCGGCGTTCTCATCACCGACGGAAAATCACAAGATGATGTAGAGGCACCTTCAAAGAAGCTCAAGGACGAGGGTGTGGAGCTGTTTGCTATTGGTGAGCGCTTAAAAGGCTCGCGGCGCCCCGAGGGCTGCGGAGGCCGAGCGTGCTTTTGTAGCTGAAATAGTTTCTGAAGCATGAAACAAACGTGCACACACATTTTCCCTGTCACAGGATTTATCAAAATGATGTGCCAGGAAGTCAATCCTTTTCTTCTTCTCTCCTTGTAAATGAGACAAAACTATAAAGCTTCTTGGAAGAAAGTAATGGATCAAGAAGACAAATGTACTATTAATAGGATTCAGGGAAATTCCACTTTGGTTTTGCACAGAACCATGTTTATTTTTGATGTCCATTATTTTGCTTTCCAGATAGAAACACTCAGGAGACACGCTTTGGTGGGAATTGGTGCTAAAAGCATTTTGAAGAAGCTAATTCCAAACAGCCTTCAGTTTATATTATTTCTTGTTTGTTTCTACTGTATAACTCTAGATATTAACTTTATTATTGAGGAGAATCATGTATCTATGCTCTAGTTTATGTTGGATATATAAGGGTTAGCCCATAAAATAGTTGCTTCATTCCATTAATGTTTTTTTGAGAAGTGTTTTGATTCTGTATTTACTCATTTTTTCCAAGGTATTAAAAATGCTGATGAGGTCGAACTAAAGATGATTGCGACAGATCCGGATGACATCCACGCATACAATGTGGCAGATTTTGATTCGCTCTCCAGGATCGTGGATGACCTGACCATCAACTTGTGTAACAGTGTCAAAGGTCCAGGTAAGGTTAGCCTGGGGTTTCTCACCCTCAATACTTATATTTTGGCATAGATAATGTTTTTTGCTTGGGAGGAGGGGACTCGCGTGTGCTCTGTGAGATGTTTAGCGCGAGGCCGGGGCTCTGCCTGCCGGATGCGGTAGGCATTCCCTAAGCTGTGAGGAGTGGAAACACCTTCAGGGGTTGGAACCGTCTCCTGGGGAGGAAACTGCCTCCAGCTGGCATCAGGGCTTTGGCCTCTGATTTTTTTCTGGATGTTTGTGCTGGACCCAAACTAGAAACGACTTCTAGCTTTTCTGAGGTTCCATGTAGTTTATAGGTACCTGTACACCACACACACACACACGTAAGCATAAACTCGGGGGGAAGAGAAGGAAAGGGCTTTCTTTTCTAGTGTATATTTGTTTTCTTGTAAAGTATCTTGTTCTTTATAATTATTAAGTTGCTCTTAAATGATTCTTCCCAGACTTGTTTTCTAAAGCTTGGTACTTTTTCTTATTAGGAATGGAAGAGGGGTCTTATATCTGATTGGCTATGTCTCAACTATAGATGATCAGATTTGATGCTTTGCACTTATAACCCTTAAATAGAAAGAGAAATTACAATTTTAGAGTTTGGATTCTTAGAAACTACATAATCTCTTTTTACTAGTAAAGAAACTGATGTTTAGAGAAGTGGAAGTATTTACTCAGGGTCAAACGGTTAAAGATGTTTATAGAGGTCTTTGAAAATAAACGTAGCTATTGATTAGAAATTAAGATTTAGAAATGAAATTACGGAACTCAATTTGTAGTAATAAAGGTTGGTGCAAAAATAATTAACATCTATAAATCATAGAATGCAACATTATAAGCACCCAAACTGAAGGTTTTTGGAAAACTAGTGACAGGAATTATGGTCTTTATTAATGCAATAAAACTTTCTTTTCAGTGCATGTAGATCATGGTAAAGATTATCTCTTGTTAATTTATTCTGATTTTGGAAACAAAGTAATGACTTTAATAGTAATGTGGTGGAAATGGTCTCATCCTTTGGATTCAGGAGAGACATTTTTCTGACTGTTCCTCCTTGAGTTTTTTCTCTCTAAGCTTTTGCAGATTTTCTTTTTGGATTTTGAACAACAGACTGACCTTTCCCTGGAGAAATAGAACAGCCAGGAAGCCAAATTTGTAGGTTTCTGGCTCTGGATTAGCTGAGAGAGTTGTAGTGTTACTTAGTTGGAGAGAACTTTGGGGATGAAAACATCTTTTATCTGTTTTCACTTATTTTTTTTTATCAGCTATGTAATAGTTGTGTTCATTCCACTTTCCCAGACAGTAAGCTTGCTTGATAATTTTGGAGGCTTGATTATGACCCAAGTACAATAAAGGTTAGAGGACTAAGAATAGAAATGCTCTCCCAGCGTGGTTACCCAGCGAGTGGGAAGAGTTTACATGAGATTGGGTTGCCATGCTTAGGGGTCGTGGGTCAGCTCTCCTCTGGTTATTATTTGGGACATCTTTCCAGTGGGCATACCGAGCTTAATAGTTCTAGTTTCATAGATATTTATTCCAGATATTGTTCTGTGTCGGCCAGTTTTACCTCTGCCCACTCACAGAGAGCACAGTTGTAGGACGCAGGATGCTCCCAAATTTTAAAAGACTTGGTGGTTTTTCCTTTCTCTTGAGTAAGAAAGTGCTTAGCGTCTCTTCCACCAAACTAGGTCCTGTAGGGGAACAACACGGGATTGAGAAACCAGTGTCATCCTCAGGGTGTGTTCCCTCTGTTAGGGAGACAGGACGTAAATGTGAATAGTCAAAGTGACAGTGAGGGCAGGGAACTCGGGTGGTGCCAGTTGTGGGAGGCGGTGGAATCGTCAGGACCCAGGTCCTCATATGGTGATTATATGTATGAGGTTAGAAAGGAGAGAAAGTATCGAAGGGTAGTTCCGGGGTTGGTGAGTCCAAGGGACTGCAGACTGGTACTGCCCCAGGAGGCGCGGGATGAGCTGCAGCGAGAGACGAGGGGCTCAGCTGTGACTCTCCTGAGGCCGAAGGACCCTTTGTCCAATGTTCTGGGGCGTCTTGTGGACAAGGGCCCCGGGACTGGTTTACGGTTGCTATTTAGTATGTAAAAAGGTGTGTACAGTTGGAAACAGTGGAGAATCTGATTTCAAGTTTCATCACCTTGCCATAATATTGTAAAAAGTGTCTATTTGATTTCCACCCACAGGAGACTTGGAAGCCCCTTCTGACCTGGTTATTTCTGAGAGAACCCACCGCTCTCTCCGGGTGAGCTGGGTGCCGCCCGCGGACAGTGTGGACAGATACAAGGTGGAATACTACCCGGCTTCTGGAGGGAAACGTCAAGAGGTGGGTGCCCGGCATCCAGAACCCACTGCTTCCTGACAGTGAGAAGGGCTCCCCTGCCGCTGGGGGTGGAGCAAGGGGGTGCAGAGGGGGGCGGAACTGAGTCCACAGTGGTACTTCCTGTTCCCTGCGAGGCAAGCACTTCCATTTGGGCTTAATTAAACAGAAAGGGCTTTGCCCAAATTCTCATGGCTTCTAAGAATTTCAGAATATCAATATGATTTTTAATTAAAATATAGTTAGAGGATGATTGATTTATTCAGGAGTTTGTACCAGAGTCATAGAGTTGGAGGAAAAAAAGCATTCAAGATGATCTAGTTTGACCCATTCATTTTACAAATAAGGGAACAACGGCTGGGCGAATAAGTTATATGAATTGTCTAAGATCTCATTGTAGTCTGATAGTTTCCAAAAGCAAACATTGAAATATAATTTCCAAGCTTTTTGCAGTTGACTACTTTGTAATTAGAGTAGAAAAGAGGGAAGTGATTATAACATTTGTTGTTACTGTTTTTCAATTTTTTCCCCTAGTTTTATGTGAGCCGACTGGACAGTAGCACGGTATTGAAAGACCTGAAGCCTGAGACTGAGTATGTTGTTAATGTGTATTCTGTGGTGGAAGATGAATCTAGTGAGCCTCTGAAGGGTACAGAGAAAACCCGTAAGTCAGATTGAACAAAAGCCTTCCCATTGTCTTTTTTTTAAAGGTAGAGAGGTGACAGTCCACGTGGGCTTTTTGTCAGCCCTCCAGACCGTTCGGCAGATACTGAGTTCATTCTTTGCACAGGGCCTCCGTAAATACCTAGGGGTTTTCTGCTCTTACTGGAACCCCACTGGTGGAATGGGTAGTCATGATCAGAGATAACTTAAAGGGAAAAGTACCTTTTGTAGGGTAATTCACTTCTTAAGGAAAGATGCCATGTCAGGAGTGGCACTCAGATCAGGAGAGGAGCTGTGCCGAGTTCTGCAGAGGCCGATCTTCCTGCTGGCAATGACATTTCCCCTTTTCTTCGCCTTTGCAGAGAGAGGTTCCTCCTTCCTAGTCCTGGGAGGATTTCTGAGTCCATTTGAAAATACTCTTTCTTTCTCTCTTCTTCTCTGCTGGGCTCCAGGGGGAAGGAAGGCTACTTACATGAGGTAAGAGTGGACCACCTGATCCGAGGCAAGAACTGACTTCACTCCATGCTCAGTTCCTTTGTCCTTTTTCTCTTCTCTCTTTTAAAAAAATTGTTTGTTTCACGGGTACAGATTATAATCTGGCATCTGCATGCACTGCACAGGTGAGCCCCTCAAAAGCCTAGTCACCCTCCACCACCATACAGTCTTCTCTTCACCCTTTTTGGCTACCCACCCCCCCATGGTAACCACGACCTGTTCTCTTTATCTAAGAGTTTGTTTTCTTCCACTAACTTTGGACTTTGTTCTTCTTTTTCTAGTTCCTTAAGGTGTGAAGTTAGATCTCTTACTTGAGAATATTCTTGTTTTTTGAGGTAGGCCTATACTGCTATGACCTTCCCACTTAGAACCACTTTTTCTGTATCCCGTAAATGTTTGGTATGTTGTATTTCTGTTTTCATTTGTCTCTAGGCATTGTTAAATTTATCCTTTGACTTATTTGATGACCCATTGGCTGTTTAGTAAATTATATTTTATCTCCATGTTTTTGTGGTTTTCCAGTTTTCATATTGTGATTTGTTTCTAGTTTTGTACCATTGTTGTCAGAGAAGATTCTTGATATACTTTCTATCTTCCTGAATTTATTGAGATGTTTTGTGGCCTAACATGTAATCTATCCTGGATAAGGTTCCATGTGCACTGAGAAGAATGTGTATTTTGCTGCTTTTGGATGGAATGTTCTATATTTACCTATTAAGCCCATCTAGTCTAATGTGTCTGTATCAATTTTCTGCCTAGGTGATCTGTCCATCACTGTAAGTGGGTTGTTAAAGTCCCCTCCTGTTATTGTTTTGCCTTCAATTTCTCCCTTTAGGTCTATTAATATTTTCTTTATTTATTTTGGTGATTCTGTGTTTGGTATATGTATATTTTTAAATGTTGAATCTTCTGGCAGGATTGACCCTTTTATTATTATGTGGTGACCTTTGTCTTCTATTACAGTCTTTCTTTTGGAGTCTGTTTTGTCTGATATGAGTATGGCTCTACAAGCTTTATTTTCATTTCCATTTGCATGGAATATTTTTTTCACATTCAGTCCATGTGTATCTTTAGCTCTAAAGTAATTCTTCTATAGGCAGCACATAGATGGGTCTTGTATTTTTGCCCATTCAACTCCTCTATATATTTTAATTGGAAAATTTAGTCCACTTACTTTTAATATAATTATTGATAGGTATGTACTCATTGCCATTTTGGTAATTGTTTTCTGGTTGTTTTTAAAGTTACTCTTTCTTCCTTTCTCCTTCTCTTTCTCTTTCCCCTTGTGGTTTGTTGTGACTTTCTCTAGTGTTATGTTTAGATTCCTTTCTCATTTTCTTTTGCATATTTACTATCAGTATTTTTCTTTGTGGTTACTGTGAATTACATATAATGTCCTATGTATATCGCAATCTCTTTTAAGTTGATAGCAAGTTAAATTTGAGCACATTCCAAAGCTTTATACTTTTAACACTTCCGCACACACATTTCGTATTTTCAGTAACACATTTCCCATCTTTTTATTTTATGCATCCCTTAACTAATTAATTGTAATTTTAGTTAATTTTACTACTTTTGTCTTTTCACCTTCATACTTGCTTTATAAGTGATAGATCCACTACCTTTACTATATGTTTACCTTTTCCAGTGAGATTACTACTTTCATAAGTTTTCTTTTTATGAATTAGTGTCTGTTCTTCTCAGCTTAGAGAAATCCCTTTAACATTTCTTGTAAGGCCAGTTTAGGGATGATGAAGTCCCTCAGCTTTTACTTATCTGGAAAACTGTTAATCTGTCCTTGTCCTTAAATTCTGAATGATAACTCTGCCAAATAAGCAATTCTTGTTTGGGAATTTAATCCTTCCAGCACTTTGATCATGTCATGCCATTCCCTTCTGGTGTAAAGTTCTCCCCCAAAAATCAACTCCTAGCCTTATGGAGGTTCCCTTGTATGTAATATATTGTATTTTTCTAGCTGCTTTTAAGATTCTTTCTTTTAACTTAACCCATTTTAATTATGCGTCTTGGTGTGGTTCTCTTTGGGTTCATCTTATTTGGAAGTCTCTGGCCTTCCTGGACGTCTACTTCCTTCCCCAGGTTAGGGAAGTTTTCAGCCATTATTTCTTTGAGTAAATTTTCTGGCCCATTCTCTCTCTCTCTCCTGCTGAAACCCCTGTAATGTGCATGTTATTCCATTTGATGTTGTTCCAGAGGTCCTTTAATGTAGCCTCACGTTTTAAAGTTCTTTTTTTATTTTGTTGCTCTGTCTGGGAGATCCTGTGCTCATCTTCCAGTCCCTGATGCATGCTTCTGCTTCCATTCTGCTACTGAAGTCCTCCAGTGCGTTTCAGTTCAGTCATAATTTCTGTTTGGTACTTTCTTATATTTTCTCTCTCTTTATTGAAGTTTTCATTGTGTTCATCCATCTTCTCCCGAGTTTGGTAAACATCTTTATGACCATTACTTTGAACACTTTATTGGATAGGTTGCTTATATCCATTTCGCTAAGGACTTTTTCTGGGGGTTTGTCTTGGTCTTTGGTTTGAAATGTATTCTTCTGTCTCCTCATTTTGCCTGGCTCTGTGTTTGCCCATATATTTGGTGAAACAACTACCTTGCCCAGTCTTGAAGATCTTGTGTAGGAAGATGATCCGTGGAGTCCAGAAGTGCCATCTCCCCTGGCCTCCAGAGCCAGGCCCTCAGGGGCATCCCTTGTGTGGACCACACGTGCCCACCAGCTGTGCAGGGCCACAGGGGCAATGTGGGATCAGCAGTGTGTGGATCGCTTGCCTGGCTGCTGCTTGGCATGGGCCAGTGCCAGCAGGCTAGGGGCTGGGCACCAAAAATGCTCTCTACCAGCTCCAGCTCTGAAAGTTACAGTGAGAGTGCAGAAGTGGTTCCTTCCAGTGCTTCCATCCCCAAAGGAAGCCCTGGAGGCTCCTGCCTCTCTGGCGGCTGCTTTAGAAGTAGTAATTGGGTCTCCTCACCTGTGACCCAGAGTGGGTGGGTCTGCATGTGAGCCCTTTAAGAGTAGGTTCTCTGTTTTCCACGTTGTTGGAATTTAATCCTTGTTGATTTTCAAAACCAGGCATTTGGGGAGCTTATCTTTCTGGTGCCGGACCCATGGGTCAGGGGGCTGATGTGGGGCATAGTCTCTTCACTTCTTGAGGGAAATTTCTGTATTTTGGAAATTCCTTCCTGACTGTGGGTCACCACACCCGGTGTGGGTCCTGGGTGAGACGAGTCTGTGCCCCTCCTCCCTATCTCAATGTCTCTTATCTCTGGGTGTGAAAGTTCTGTTCATCTAGTTCTAGGGGCCTTAGGAAAATTATTCTATATATAATTGTAAATCTGTTGTGTCTATGAGAGGAGGTGATTCAGCAGCTTCCTATGCTGCCATCTTGAACCCTATCTTCTATCTCTTCTCTTCATATTAAACCACAGAAGGTGGGAAATAATGTATTTCATAATGGACAGGATAATCTGATGATTAAAACTATAGACTCAATCTTTGGACAAAAAATGGAAAATTATATGGGTGTTAAGTGAAGGGGACACTGTAACCCTTTTACTATTTCTCATAGGCTTGTCTTTAAAAATCCCCATAGATCCCCTCCATTTCAGTTATTTATGTATGGCACTCTCACTTAAAATTTATTTTTAAAGAAAAATGAAATAAAATACTGTGTTAGTTACTTAGGTATGAAATTCTGTGATCGAAGAATGAAAACAGTCTCCTTAGAGATGCTCCAGAAATAGAGATTGGAATCCCAGGAGCCTGATACTGACCTTGGCCTGCATGCGGACTCACTGGAATACCCTCTGAAATTCAAGCTTTCTTCCTCTGTGCAGCATTTGTAACATGCAGTACTAGCAATCAACAAGGAGAGTTAGCTTTTGGGGAAAGGAAAAGGTTATATTAATTCCTATTGTTCTCATAGCAACCCATTGTCTAGCATATGCAAATATTGATAATTAACTAGGAAACAACAGCTAAAACATGAGTAGAATGACAGGGGCTGGCCTCACGTCTGCTCCTATATTCTGACAGTGCCGGTCCCTGTCGTCAGCCTGAATATTTACGACGTCAGTCCTACCTCCATGCACGTGCAGTGGCGGCCGGTGGGCGGGGCTACTGGCTACACCTTGTCCTACGAGCCCATCAATGCCACGGAACCAACGAAACCCAAAGAGGTGGGAGATGTTCGTTTCTTTATTACTGGGTCTTCCTGAGACTTTACAGTCGTACAGTGCCCATTAAACTGTAGTTACTTAAGAACTCATTTATAACCTTACACACAGAGGAGGAAAACAGAAAATTACACCTGTGCCCTGTGTCACATTTTAGAAAATAATGCCGTTCAGAGAGAGGCAAAATCAAAGTCGTTTTGTCATCTAGTGGTTGCAGCTAGGCTGTGACTGGCCGTCCCAGGGAGTGGAAGCACTCGATTTGGATGTCTGACTCCCTCTGCTGTTGTGTCCTTGTGCAGATGCGTGTGGGGCCAGAAGTGAATGCCGTGCCGCTGCCCGACCTCTTTCCTAACACCGAGTACGCAGTCACAGTCCAGGCTGCCCTGCACGACCTCACCAGCGAGCCTGCCACTGCTCGGGGAGTCACCCGTAAGACAGTGCCGTCTCCCTCCTTTCCTTACTGCTGTAAACTTAACACTCATTAGGGTCTTTCTTTCACCAAGTGACGCTAACAATAATTTGATGATCTGTGGATAAGTCACAGGGTTATTACTTAGGGCAATCAAGTTTGAGAATTGAAATTGATTTTGGATTTTAGCAACTTCTTAAAGTGATTCTAGGACATACTTTTTTTTTCACATTTAACATGCTTGATATTGAGATATATCTTCCAATTAGTGGTGTCTTATGAGCGCACGTGGCCAGGTGCCAGTCAGGGCATTGGACATGAGATCACGGTGCACCCTACAATTGGTGTTGCTGTAGATCCTGGAAATACGGTGTAAGCTTTGGCAAGAAGAGTGTGTTGGGTGAGTAATTTTGGAGGATGATACTAGGTGTAAGACCAAGTTCTTGTTGAAGTAGAAACTCCATGGCACATCAGAATGAATCTGTTTCAATCAAGTGAACTGATCAGTTGATTCAGCCCGGAAACACAGACCCCCTGCTGCACTCTGCTGCCCATGCCAGGTGTTGGGGGTGTGCCAGCACACCGAGTGGAGTGGCGGACAGCATGGGGGCTCCTTTGCAGTCTGCACTTCTCTTGTGTGGGTTGTTGGCCCCTTTTGTGTTTCTGGGTTGTTTTACTAGCATTTAGGTGCTTTTTCTTGAAATGTGACAATGATTGCACTTAGGACCCTTGTCTCACCACCTGGCAGTTTTGTTGCATGCTTGTTGAGAGGGGCATGCTGGGATAGATGACTTGGCTTAAACTCCGTGAGTCTCAGCCCGCTTTCTAAGGAAATGAAGAAATTGGAAAGAACCTTCAAAGGGGGAAGAGGACTCAGACAGAACCCACTTGGGGCAGAAAAGAGAAAGAGCTTCTGCAGGGCAGGCAGTGTGACAATTGACAACAATAACAATATGTTATTTTACATATTATGTAGTAGACCTTGTGTGAAGCTGGTAGTTTTGTGGAAATGAGTTGTGGCAGATGGAAAGACATGTGTCTTGAGAGTTCTGGGAAAGGGGACCCCCGAACCCAGTGAAACGAGAGGCAGATGTGGCCGCTGGCCGGGGTCCGGGGCTGGGCGGCCACGGCAGAGGCAGGAGGGTGCAGGGAGCAGTGCAGACATCGGAGGGAGGGAGGTGGGAGACATGGAGGTGGAGGGAGATCCGGAGGACAGATGTTCAGAGTCGGAGCGAGAGACAGAGGAAGCTGGTCACACAGGCAGCTGGGAAGAGAACTGTGTCTCAGATAATGAGAAAATCTTAGTTATCCTCCACCCTCTTTTTAAGGTAAAACTTTGACTTGGTAAAAATTTATCATTTGGATTTTCTTCTCACATTTTAGGTTTCTGTGGGTTTTCCTGTAAGCTTACTAGATGCTTAATTTTGACCCATCTTCATTCTTCACCCCCATACCATCGTTTTCTCTATCACATTCTTAAGGAAGCATAACTCTTTGGATTTTCTTTTCTGTCTTCTGTGCTACAGAAACATGAGCTATATATCCATGGTGAATTGTGATCGGTCATAGCTGAGTGGCATGTATAAGCTCATTTAAATAGAGTGGAAGACAGTTAACAGATAAAGGAGAAGTTAGACTTGTAATAAAAATTTAAATTTATCCTATTTTTAAAAAACCTTTCTAAGAAGAATTTGCCTGTACTTGATAGAATCATAGTACTTTCGTCATCGTTACCAGTTTTTTAGTTATTTTGCCGCATACCTTGAAGTTTTCTTCAGAGAACTTCTTGAAAGCTTGTGCGGATGCTCTAGAGCTTTGTGGGTGAGAATCATCCGGACCTGATTTCTCGTGCACCTCCAGCGCCTTTACCCGGACCTCGAGGCCTGAAGCTCAGGGACGTGACTCACAGCGCCATGAATGTCTTTTGGGAACCTGCACCTGGAAAAGTGCGTAAATATATCGTTCGCTACAAAACCCCTGAGGAGGATACCAAAGAGGTAGGTTGGTGGTCAGAATGGATTGGGAAATACCTGTTTTCCTGATAGTTAAACAAAAGAACTGAAACTAGGACAGATGGTAGCAATGTTTTGCAAACTTGTCACGCTATTAATACAGTGTTGAAAACCTACTATATTAATAAAGCACTTATTGAATATTGATAACATTTTGTACTGTCTTGCATTTAGTTTAGAAATATTTTGCTGTGTGGTATTAATCTCGAAGACCATCTTCCCTCAGTAGATACAGTTAAGGAATCTAGATGGTGTTTCCTTCTCATCCAGATGCCTCATGTGGTGATCTGCTTTCTATGAATTACTAAAAAAAGGTCCTAATGATGTTTCTCAAAGTAAAAGTTAATAAGGGATGCAGGTTAGAAGAGCGGGGAGTGTGCCAGGTAACAGGAAGGTAGCACAGCCCAGAGGAGGGAGGGAGGTGTTGTCGGAACAGTGTCCCTTCAGCAGTGAGAGTTTTTTGAGATGATGTTGGGATGGAGAGCTGTTTCCATGACAACCTAATTCAAAGCAGGACAAATTGAGGGGCTTCACCAGTGAATGGATTGGAGACCTGTAATATCAGAATCTCCGAGGCATTTTTGGAAGGTATAAATAGATTCTTATAACTCAGCTAGCGACTGTGCTGGTCGTTTGGATTATGCCAAAGCTAACTTATACATGTGTGCGCACTCATCTCATCCTGGGCTTCAGTTTTACACGGGGCATAGTGCCCGGCAGGTCTCACAGCGTTTTCCCGTGTAGCGGACGTGGTAATGCTCAGGAGGACATTTCCAAAGCAGTGAGGCGGCCGTGCGCAGGGGAACAGGCGCGAAAGGATTCGGTGGTGGGACTCCGTAGGCAGTTGTGAGTTACCGGGCAGTAGTGTCAGATATGGCTCTGCTGTATACGTTTTGTCCACTTAGGGAGCATTTAAACTGTCTCTGGCTCCTGAATCTTATGCCAGTTGGAAAACACTGCCTTTTTTTTGTAGCACAACACTTATATTCTTGTGCTGCGAGGTACAGCAAACAACAGAAAGATGCCCAGATTAAATCCTCTGTAAAAACAGCCTGGCTGCTCTGTTGTAGGTGGAGGTGGACAGGTCACGGACCAGCACCCCGATCAGAGACCTCTTCTCCCAAACCCTGTACACAGTCAGTGTGTCCGCTGTGTACGACGAGGGGGAGTCCCCCCCGCTGACTGCTCAGGACACTACCCGTGAGTTGTGATGGCGCGTCACTCACCTCTGGGGGTTGTGCATGTGACACTGAACTTACTGGCTTCTTTTCCTTCTTAACACTATTTTGCCAGCACTGAATGATGTTTGGATTCATCGGTCATTTTCACTTATTTTCTTCCCCTATTCTACCTTGATGTCCAATTTTTTATGATGGTTTCTATCCTACTATTATTCTATCAGCCACTGTCATTAATTCTTCTTCAAGAGACTTAACTGGTGTGTGTGTGTGTGTCAGGGGGTGGGGAGAAAGTATGGTCTTGATGTATGTTGGACATTTCCTCTGGAAAAGTGGCATTAGTTATCAAATATTTTTCAGGATCTTTCTGAATTACAGATGCTCTCAGGGGTAACAAAATATAGGCATCCTTCCCTCAAATGTTCATGATTTCATTGTGGAGATGAGAAAAGCTAAGTCACAGTTCACAGAATCACATAAGGAGGGTGGGCAGCTGGCACTCAGATTGCATGTGGTCAGATTCCGAGGAGGGGGGACACCACCGTGGAAGTGGGGCCTGCCCAGGCCCTCCTTGCCTGATGTGTTCTGCTGGGTGTCCATTTCTCTCCCTCCCCTGCTGTTTCCATAGCATTTAACCCAGTTATCATTACCTTTTGGTCTTTTTCCACCCGTCCTGCCTTCCCGTTGCTCCGTCTTACTGAAGGCGGGGATGTTTGTCTTGCCCAGCTCTGTATCTCCAAGCCTGGCACACTGCTCAGCACATAATTTCCTAATTAAACATTAGCTAAGGAGTTGGGGCCTAAGGACAGCAGTGTTCCAAAGAAATATAATAGGAGCCACATATGTATTTCAAAATTTTCTAGTAGCCACATTAAAAAAGGTAAAAAGAGACAGATGAAATCAAATTTAACAATGTGTTTTATTCAACCGAATATATCCAAAATAGTATCGTTTCAAAATGTATCAGCATATTAATTGTATATTATCTTACACTTCTTTTCCATAAGAATTATTCAAAATCCAGCAGGTATTCATTTGACACATATCTCTGTCTGGGCAAGCTACACGGGGCCTGGGGCTCCCATGGGAACAGCACAGGTCAAGAGAATTCAAATGACCTGCCTGACCTCTTGTGTAAGCTAGCGGTGGGGTCAGTGCGCACTCTGGGGCTCTTCTGTCCCTCTTGTCAAATGTCAGGCAGCTTCAGGTGGCGTGTATTTCTTAGCAGTTTCAGGTGCTTCTTGGCGTCACTTCTTACCTGATAAGGGTCGGGGCAAGGGAAGAAAATTGATGTGTATGAGAAGGAAATGATGCTAGCCTTGCATAAATATAACAGGTGCAGTCAAGAGAAAAAGAGGCCAGGGAAAAAGACTAGTGAAAGCAGGAATTTAGTATAAGAAATCAATACTTTCAACATAGGTATTCAATCCTAAGGTTCCCTACGCCTTTTAGGTATACCCAAAGCGCACCCCTAACAGTAGGTGTGCAGGGGTGTGCGTGAAAGGAGTACCCTCCGTTTATCTCAGGTCATTTTCATTATAATTACTGGAAAAAGCGTTTTTGGCAGCTCCAGGTTTTGTGTAATTGGCTTTGGTTAACAACGGACAGCGGGAGCTCAGGCCTGGCAGCAGATGACGAAATGGTGTGAGCTGCGAGCGAGGGGCCCTGGGCTGGGGTCCCGCGGTCCCCCCCGGAGAGAGCCAGTACAGTTGGCCCCACATCGCCTTGAGGCTAGCTGTCTCTAGGAAAAGCTCATGTGTGGATTCCTTAGGTCATAACACTGTGGGGGGCCACATGCTCTTTGACATACACCCCAACATTTGTGCATATGTGTGTCGCTGTGTGAAAGTCCATGGTTTTCCTTAGATTCTCGACTTTGAGGTGTAGAACAACTAAGAGCCTCTGTTAGGAGAATATATCCTAAGTGGGATCTTCAAAATAACCACCATTTCAATAGAATGTAAATGACAACCTATTATATCCATATAGTGAACTAAATTTATGGGATACTTGGTTCTAAGCAAAATTTTCAGCCATGTCCATTAACATAACAGTAACATAAAACTAGGCAACTTTGTTATATTGAACTGAGTTTGCAGATCACATTAAAAAACTTAGCCTTGCCTTTTCTCCTAACAGGCACTGTGCCGGCCCCCGCAAACCTGAGGATCACTGAGGTGACGCCGGAGAGCTTCAGGGGGACCTGGGATCACGGAGCTTCAGATGTGTCTCTCTACAGGATCACCTGGGCCCCTGTGGGAAGCTTGGACAGGATGGAGGTAGTGCCGCCTCTGTTCTTTTCCTTTTCTTTTTCTTCTTTGACATCCTATATGGGATCTTGTTTGGAATATATATTACCTCTGTTGCCTGAAAGCATCGTCTCCTCCTAGTGAGCTCCTGGCATGCATCAGGGCAGGAAGAATGTCTGGCTAAATGGTGTCAACAGATGGCCACTGAGTGTATGAGATCATGGTAACTTAATTTTGTGTGAAGTTGTTTTTTTTTTCTCTTTCACTAAGACCATCTTAAATGGAGATGAAAATACTTTGGTGTTTGAGAACCTGAACCCAAACACCCACTATGAAGTCTCCGTTACTGCCATTTATCCCGATGAGTCAGAAAGCGATGATCTTATTGGCAGTGAGCGCACACGTAGGTTCAGCTTTCGAATCAGACATTGTTATTTTAAAGTAAATTTAAAGAGTAGAGCTCTCGCTATGTTACTGATATTTCCTCAAATTCTGTTTTTTTTTCCTAGCACGTTTGATACCCTTAACAACACCAGGTAAGAATTTAATTTGCTGAATTGTGTGAATGACCAAAAAATGGATAAATGAATGAAAGAGTGCATGAATGAGTGAATGAATGAAAAATGCCACAAAGTCCATTGTAGACAGGCCTTCTGCTGTTTGATTTTAAGTTATTGGTTGGGACCTCTTTATAAACCAGGCTTTCTTGAGAAACTGCTTTGCTACTACTTGTTAAGGAGTCATTTAAGGACCATCATTTATCACACAAAGTTAGTTCTAACCTAGAAGCATACAGCTCTGTTGATTTCTTTGGGAACAGCGCCTGTTGCGGGGGAGGCATTGCTCTGTGTGCTTATTACTCTGTTTCTCAACAATCTTCTTTCAGCTCCAAAAAGTGGCCCACGAAACCTTCAGGTGTACAATGCAACATCTAACAGTTTGACCATTAAGTGGGACCCCGCTAGTGGTCGTGTGCAGAAATACAGAATCACTTACCAGCCCTCAACAGGGGAAGGCAGTGAGCAAACGGTAATTTGTTTTGAACAAAAACATAACTTGGACAAGTTCTACCTTTTCCTCCTCATGTTCCTTTCCTGCCCGAGGTTTAGGGAGTCATACTGCTGCGAGAGATGCAAGCGTTACTGTATTGGCTGGAATTGTTTGACTCCGTCTGTGATGGAGACTCGGTGGCTGTTTTCTGGGCGATGAGGGTCGCCTCTCATGGCTCTCCGTGGCTTCAGCCACGTGCCTGCTTCCACGCTTCCCTTGAAGACTCTTAGGCCAGGAGAGTCTGTGAAGATATTTAGATTTTTTAGTCTGGGTAGATCTCTAGCCCATATCTCTCTAACTTAATCAAATACCAAATAACTTCGATTATTCTGAATTTTCTAATTTTTGCATGTCTTAAGGTGTTTCCTATTCCAGGCACCTGTTCATTTAATTCATACTATTTATCATTTTTATGTTTATCCACATGGAGGGCCCTGAGGAAGACTGCCAGACTGGGAGCTCAGCCTTCATCGTTAGTGCCCCCGTCTTCCCTTATGAGCAGAGCCCTTGTGTGTTCCCCTGGCTGAATTCTGTTGTCCGTCTTTGAACCTTCTGCAGCTTTCCTTTAATGCTGTATGTGACCGGACGTGCACCCACTCTCCCAGGTCAGGGAGCGCTCCGGTTTCCACACCAGCAGTGGGGCGCTTCCGGACTGATCTCAAATGCCTCTTTCAGCAGGTCCGGGGTTCCTCTGATGTTTTCTAAGGCTGTGTGTTTTCACATAGTGTTGGGGAGACATGAGCTATTCATCTTCAGTCACCTGGCTTGCTGAGCTCCAGCCAGTGGGTTGTCCCCCTTCCCAGTCAGAGATGTTAGTGCAGGTAGATGGTGGTGGTGGCTTCACTGAGCCAGAGGCCCTCCCATGCCCAGTGCCACCTTTGAGTTGGTCTTTTGAGGTGTCCGTGGAACTAGCATTACATAGTATGATACTTTTGGATTGAGAATTTGTTTTAGTTAGGTTATCAAAATAATAAACTAAAAACCAACTGTGGTCAACTGGGTTTTATATAAAAGGATGGAGGACGCATCTGATGGACTGCTATTCACCGTAAGAAACAGGCTAGATTCAGGTAAAAGCACAAAGCAGGTGGAGCTTGTCTCTGGGGTCACTCGGCTTGGCGACACCCGCCGGCGGTTGTCCTGAGTGTCCCCCTACAGCTGTTGTGATGACTGGGCCTCCTGTGACCCCTCTGGAAGGCATCAGCCGGTAACCACCTAACATGTGTCACTCTGAGGGATCTCCGCATTTGAACGGTGGTCCCTGAGGTGAAGCCCGGCACCACTGATGCTGGAATTATTTCGGAGGTCCGGATAGAGAAGTGGGTGGACACCCCTCAGCTTCCTTGTACAGCTGGTTCCAAGCAGGTGCTTTCAGGCTTGTTAAACAGCAAAGGGCTTGTGCCGATAGTGACACTCTTCTCGTGACCTCACATACCAAATTCATTAAAATCCGCCCCGTAGTCCAATCCGCTCGTATCGGGGACACTACAGTGACTATTGAGGTTTCTCTGGACCTCAGGCACGTGAGTGGATGGCTGCTAAGCTGGAAACATGCGAGGTGTCCTCGCGCACCCAGCCACCCACACGTGCACTCTCTGTGGGCAGTGTGCCGTTTTCGTGTGATTTTCATCAGTGTGGCATAACCATCTGAATTCGGTGGACTGTTAACAAATCACACAGATCTGCTTGCAACAAGATAGCTAGGTGGCCTTAAGCAATGAATAAAAAGTTTCAGACTCTGTGATTGGAGGAAATTGTGAAAGCTTCATCTCGCAAGACGGGTGTCATGGAGACGGCCAGGACCCTGGGCCTGAGGCGGTCCGGCGAGGGGTCGGGCTGCGTAGTTCACAGCAAATGCTGTCAGAGGGGCTCTTTTGCGGAAACACCAAGAGCCTTAGAGCTTTTGCTGAATCACTTCTTTGTGTTTCTAAAGCAAATAAAAACCATCTGTAAAGGAAGTAAGGGAAACATTGAGCGGTGTGGAGCCCCTGACGTCGTCATGCTCTTCTCCTCTGTCGTAAGGTTCCTTTGTAGCTCATTTATGATTTCTTCCTTTTTTTGGGAATCTAATGTACTTCAGATGAAATTTCACAAGCTGGTGATGAGCGAGTTGAAATATCTTTTTGAGGTCACCAGTTAAAGGCTTAGAACCCTTTTGTGATTTAAGGTGTGTATTTTGCATTTAAAATTACACCCTACAATATATTTTAGACCTTCACCATGGTACACGTTTCCAGACTGTGGTGATGGTTCACACAATCCCCCCGTGGAAACAGCTTTTCCTAACAGGTCAGCGAGACAGGGAAGGAGGCTAACGCTCACCTGTCTCCCTCAGGCCACGGTAGGAGGGCGGCAGAACAGCGTGCTTCTGCAGAAGCTGAAGCCTGACGCTCCTTACACGGTCACCGTGTCCGCCCTGTACCCTGACGGCGAAGGAGGTCGGATGACAGGAAGGGGGAAGACCAGTAAGTGAGCCCAGACTCCCATAGCTTCTTTAATAACTGCCATGGGGATGGAATCACATCTTTATCTGGAAACGGTGGGTGACACGGTTTTGCTCATCTTTAAATGCATTTAGAGTCATTTTGAACACCCTTGCTTGGAGTTATGTATCTCTGTGGACAAAGATGTTTATTACTTTCTGTGGTAAAAAAAAAAAAATGCTTTGGGGCCAAAATATCTTGTGGAGGGAAGAGATGTGTACCAGAGTATCACAGACATTCTTTTATTTATTCACTGCCTCAATCAGTATTTTGGGGTGCCCTCTATGGGGTGCCTGCTCTGTTTGAGGGTGATTGGGAGATACCAGTGCACCTGCATTTTGTGTGTGCTTGGTGTCAGGATCATGGCGTGCTGTGGTTTCTGTACATTTCAGAACCTCTGAACACCGTGAGGAACCTGAGGGTGTATGACCCTTCTACCAGCACCTTGAATGTCCGCTGGGACCATGCAGAGGGGAATCCTCGCCAGTACAAGCTGTCCTATGTACCAACAGCGGGTGGCCCAGAAGACCTGGTAATTATTTCCTACAGTGAGAAATGCATGTGTGTTTCAGCTGTCACTGAGCGACTTAAAGTGGAGCTAAAGGAGTTGACCGATCTACTTTATTGCTCAAGAGGTTCATATTTATTTAATAGCACTTGACAGAGGGTGATAGGCTGGTGCCTGGGTGATGCAATGGGGGCTCTGGGCAATTGGGGCCAGCAGAAGTGATCATCCCAGGAAGTTCTAGAGGGGGAGCCTATGGTGAGTGCAGGGGTCTAGAAAAGTCTTCACACCTTCTTGTAACAGTTTGTATGGAGGCTCATCTTTATATCCTAATATTACAGAACTTGCTTCTTGACTTCGTCTTGAGTTAGTATTTTGAATATTATATTGTTTGGAGTAGTATTTCTTTTTTGAGTTTTTCAAACCGAGTGCTTTGTGTATGAACTCTTTAGGTACCAATCCCTGGGAATACCAATTACGCCATTCTTAGGAACCTGCAGCCGGATACCCCATACACGGTGACGGTAGTTCCCGTTTATACTGAAGGGGATGGAGGACGCACATCAGATACTGGAAGGACGTGTAAGTAAGAAGGCAGACAAAAATTCAGTTTCTTCATGATTAACTTTGCTTTTCATTATAGAGACTATATAGGACCATTAAAAAATTCAGAAGATTCACAGTGATAGAATAAAATTACCCACAGTCTACCTCCAAAACATCATCAACTGTTAACATTTTGGTGTGTGGGAAGACAGGTGTATACTGGCCTTTCCCTCTGAAATCGTAACTGCAGGATTTACAGGTAGCTTTTCTTTAATGGCGTGTGTGACCAGACTCAAAGCTAAACCCGCTGCCAGCTCAGCCATCTTCCTCACCGACAGAATCTCACGGGGTTTCTTTTGTGCTTTATAAATTGGTGAAGTGGTGCTTTGTAACGGGCTTTTATAGTGTGAAGTGTTGAAATCTATCCCATTTCTAAATGGCACTTTTCTCTGGTTTGCTAACATGCTCTTTGGCATGAAAAATCTGTGTGCTTCCTTTCGTCTGCCATCTTGAGAAATCAGTTTATAGTGGTTTACTGTTCTGTGGTTTTGCCTAAACGCTTTGGGAATACTTGTAAATATTTCTTTGGCTTTAAAAATATACTTGCTGATAGCTAAAAGGAAGCAAGTATGAAGGGCTTCTTTTGGTGAAAGATTAGTTGTCTAGAAAGATGATGTTATTGGCTAGAGTTTGGGGTTAATACGTGGATTTAAGTTGTATATTTTTCTAAGTCGCTAGTGAGGCAGCCAGTTGAGAACTGGGTGTATCTTTTATTTCTCCCTCCTTTTGTGTTTTAATCACAGAAGACATTCAGGAGCTATTTGCTGAATGCAGAAGGAATAAATGAATGAAACTAGTTGGCGGAATTAGGCAGGCTCCTCACTCCCTCCGCCGTCCAGGCTGGAGAACTGAAGCTCTTTTCCAGCTTCTTGTCCCTTCTGCCTTGTCCTTTTATGGCAACTCGGTCCTACCACTTTTCCTAGATTGTTTTTACTGGCAACAGCTTTGCTTCCATATAGACAAAGGCCATCACTGGCTTCCTGTGACTGAATTTGGATTTGGAGTTTGTGCCTGCTCTTGTGTGTAGATCCTTAGACGTTTAAGGAGGATACCATTTTGCCCTATCACAGAGTGTAAGTTCTAGAGAAGTGGTAACAGAAACTTGACACGTATAAACAGACTCACAAAGCATGTGCTCGCTTTCCTTCTGCAGTGGTGAGAGGACTGGCGAGAAACGTGCACGTGTATAACCCTACTCCAAACAGCCTGGACGTGCGCTGGGACCCTGCGCCTGGACCTGTGCAGCAGTACCGTGTTGTGTACACGCCCGTGGATGGCACGAGACCCTCAGAATCTGTGAGTTGTTTGTCAGCTCCAAGCTCAGCAAACAGATTTGGAGATTCCACTGTGCTGCGTGCCATGGCAGGTGGCGTAGAGCAGCCAGTCAGTTTGTGATACCAAGTCACCTGGAAACTTGGCTTCCAGACAAGTTTAGTATTGTGTTTGTGGTGTGTTTGGTAACCCCTAAGAATGCAACAAACCACAGTCATGCTAATGCATAATATTAACATGCTTGCTTTTGAGGGGTTAAGGCAGATGTATTAACCATGGGGTTAGTTAGTAGAAGTGAATTCTGGGGAAAAGCAGCTTAGCTGTATGAGTTAAAAACCACAGAAGTAAATACAACTCCTTGCTGGGCCTTGTCAGTGTGTGCATTTTGTGGTAACATACATATGTTCATTGGGAAAGTATCTGAAAGTTTGTCTTCACTGGCTCTTACAAATTGCCCAGGCTATCTTCAATTCATGGTACTACTCAGTTTTGTAAGAAGGTTAATGCGGAAATCAGAGATGACTAACCAAATAAGGATAGTGTCAGAACACCTAAGGGAAAGTGAATTGATGGACTAATTCACAAGTCTTTACAAAAATAAGCAATGATGCTGAGCCAAGATAAATGATGAGTAATACAGAAATTCTGTATGAATGTTCGTCTGTGTGTGTCGGACATAGTCAGACAACACTGGCCTCATCTGTTGCTGGAGTAGCTATTTTAATACAAAATCTCCCCCACCCATGTGGGGGCCCTTCTCTAATAGGTACCTGACATTCGGGATGCTCTTGGGTAACCATGGTGAGCCCAGGGTGTTATATTGAGAATTTTTACAATGAACAGAAACGGGAGATAGGTGAAGCTACAAGGACCCAGTATGAGCTAACTTTCTTTGCAGGGCAGTTTCTGAGGATAAATTGCATCTAACAGTGGGGCTTGGGCGTCTCCTGAGGGGGCACAGGGTTGGCTCCTGAGCGCCTGGGCTCAGCCTTTCATTATAGACGCTAGTCTGCTGATAAAGGACTTGATAAGCATTGAGGTTGTTCTCGGGCAGAACCTGGCATTTCCCCCCCTCCAGACCGTGGTGCCAGGAAACACTCGGACGGTGCGCATGGAGCGGCTGATCCCGGGCACAGCTTACTCTGTGAATGTCGTCGCCCTCTACACGGATGCAGAGGGCGACCCCAGCCCCGGCCAGGGCCAGACACGTGAGCCCCAGACCCCCTCCCACGGCGGGCAGGGCTTCTTCCGGCGGGTGAGGAGGGGCGGGGCAGTGAGCGGAGGAGGGAGAGGTCTTTGCCTGTGTGCCCGTGAATGGGGCCCTGGCCTGGTACCGCCTGGGCTCTGCCCCGTCCGCAGCCCAGGCTGGTGCTTGGGGCCCAGTGCCGCCCTCTGGGCTGGGGGCCTGTCCTCACCCGGGACCTAAGCTAGGAGAAGCACTTCCTCTGTCCGCCCTGCAGTGGGTCTGCTCACCGGATGGGCACCCAGGAAACCCCAGGGCTCGGCCTCCAGGCGTCGTCAGACAGGAGGCGGTTAGAGCCGCGGAGTGACCCTTTCCTCTCCCAGGCTGCACGTTTAGGTTCACACAGAGCTTGGGTCACTCAAAGCTCGGCATGTAATGGTAGCTCTGAAATGTAGCACTTTTTTTTTTTTTACCATTTCTGGTCACATTAAAACTACAGAAGGTGTGTGTCTTATATGGGAGTAAAGCTCCTACTGAGCGGTGTGACCGCCTTCCTATGACCTGGGCAGAATTCTCCTCTACCCCCAGCCCTTCTCCCACCCCCGTGTCCACCACGCCCACAGACAAGCAGCTAACACTGTTGCATTTTATTTTTTTAGTTCCACGAAGTGGGCCGAGAAACCTGAGGGTCTCCGGGGAGACGACCAACAGCCTCTCTGTCTCCTGGGATCATGCCGACGGGCCAGTGCATCAGTACAGGGTCATCTACTCTCCCACCGTGGGTGATCCGATCGATGAATATGTGAGTCCACTACTCATTTTTGAGCGCTTTGTAATCTCCCCTGTGGCTGGAAGGTGGAATCAAGCTCTCACCCAGAAGGTTGTGCTGTGATTACAGTGAAGGCCTTGTCCCTGTGTGACAGCCACATCTTAGATGACTTTCTCCAATGTGCTACCGAGAGCGCCTGACTGTGCTTGCTGCCGCCCTCCACATCACTGAGGCTTGGTCTTTGCGCTCATCTCTGTTCTAAACACAGACTGAAAACCTGCCTTATTAAATGCATATTTCTAACCACCTGATTGTACCATAGGAATAAGTCTAGGGAAACACGACCCCTATTATTCTGAGCTACTAAATGAATGTTCAAATGGTGTGACTATCCAAATCCTATCCTTTCTTTAAATCTAATTCCTCTACAAGATCGTCTTCAAATACTCCAGTGCTAATTGATCTCTTTTCTCTAAATTTAACATTTTCTGGTATACTTTGCTTTGGGAACATAGATGCTCTCATATTAGTTTCATACTGTCTGAGTGGCATGTTTTATCTCTCTAGAACCATATTCAGGTTTCACATAGCTTCCTTACAGCCTTCACTACGTGTACCTGTTTGTTGAGGATGGAAAAACCACTTTCTTTAAAGTTTCATGACTAACCAATGTGATGGGTCAGTACAAGACTGACAGCATGTTGACTGAAAAGCAGTCACTCAGGTTTATAGTTTGCGACCATTTTGCCACATACGTCTCTTTTGATCATTCTGCCCCACTACCCCGATGGTATAAAATATTTTATTCCTTTGAACCTGATGTATCAGGCTGTAATTAACCCCCCATTTTTATTAATCAAAAATGCATGTAGCTGTCATTCAGAGTTTCTGATCATAATAAGATGAAAGCAGTGTTAAGCACACTTAGTCTGGCAAAGCCAAGAAGCATGCAATTTCTCAGAAACATTAGAAACATAATTTCTTCCCTCAGTTCACCATCTGTAGTCATGAGATGCTATCCTGGGAATCACTAGTATAAATAATGAGCGTTGTTTATAGAAGTTCAGCACAGGAGTGGGAGAGAGACAGAGACAGAGAGAGAGACAGAGACAGAGAGAGAGGGGGGGGTGGCCCACTTCCTCTTCACAGAGGTCGTCGAATGTCTCTCACATCTCCACTTAGTACCAGCCGAATGGGTATTCTCGAGGGCAGAACCCGAGTCTGGTTGCTCACCGGTGTATTCGCGGCAGTTGTTCCGGGACTGGCCGCAGGGGGGTGCAGTATATTCGCTGGGGTGCGTGAACAGGGGATGCCTCCGTGAGAGCCGAAGGAGACAGGCGTGGAGCTGAGCCTGCGGCACAGCGCTGAGGTGTTGTGCCTCCTCCTGCCTTTTGATCTCACAGTTTCCTTCAGAGACGCCCAATCATGGGCTGGTAAGTGGGGGATCCGCGATTTGAGCCAACATCCGTCAGACTCTAAAACCGGCCTCCCACGCAGTACAGAGAAAGTGTGCAGGGTCGCCTTGCTGTGAGCCCTTGTGTGACAAAAAGAAAACATGAAGAAACCATTACTGTTTATGGGAATACATAAAAGCATAGTGTCTTTTCATCTGGAAGTCCTCTAGCTGATAATACATTTATAATTTAATTTCTACAGACCACAGTCCCGGGCAGGAGAAATAATGTAATCCTGCAGCCCCTACAGTCCGATACTCCATATAAAATTACTGTCGTTGCTGTTTATGAAGATGGAGATGGTAGTCATCTAACAGGAAATGGAAGAACGGGTAAATGTCTTTTAAATCTTCAAATTAACCTTTACCAATACGCCTCAAATAGTACATTAATATTGCATTAACAGGTATACGAGACACTGAATTTCATCAAATTGATATGAGATTAGAACTTGTATTTTAACTTTTTAAAGGTCTCCTAAAAGAAGAAAAAGGAGACAAAAATCTCCATGTTTTGCTTTGCTTGAGACAGATTTATGTCTCCCATGCAGAGCCACCGCATATCCTCCGAGCGGGGCTCTGGGTGTGCGGTGCTGGTGAAGGCTGTAGCAGTTCATGCCGTCCAGTTAGCCTCAGCAGTTCCCGACTCCACTGGAGTTGCTGTTTGAATTTGGAAAACTGCTAAGCTTTCTGTGAGCATTTCAGTGCTTTTTAATTGTTTTCTGGATAAGGACATTATGGGTTACTATTAAGTTGCTCTCACAGGACTGCACTTATATCAAAACCCATAATCAATACTCATTAAGTTCTCTGTTCCCCTTATATGCCAATGAAAGGTCAGTAACATGTGCCAATATTTATTTGCAGTGGGACTACTTCCACCTCAAAACATACACATCTCTGATGAATGGTATACGAGATTCCGGGTGTCCTGGGACCCCTCACCGTCTCCAGTTCTTGGATACAAAGTTGTGTATAAGCCAGTGGGTAAGGAAGCACCTATCTTACCACAGAAATTCACTGCAGAGTTCTTTGTGTATGAAGGGTTCTTTATTGCACCCCTAGATTAGATTCTCTTGATAGTTCAGTTATCACATCCTCTCCCATTAGAGCTAATATTTATGGAAATTATGTTTTCAGCCAGTGATATAAATATCACTGTTACTGTGGGTATAGATGAGACTTTCATTAATTTGCATGATGGAGAAGTTTGACCTGTCCATAAAATTACACAAACTGAATCTGTGTTCAGATATCCTGTTTGTTATTACAGTTGTGAAATAATGCATATTTAATCAATATAAACCTCTGCATGTTTCCCATTATGTTAAGGTGTTGTTCTGTCTCGGGCATATGCCTGAGTTTGTTCAGGACAGATTTGCATTCAGCTTTGCACTGAGACTTTCACAACTAAATGGATTATCACATAAAGTATTTGCTGTCTTTTTTCCTGCATGCTTAGCAAGATGGAAGAAAAATATTCTGTACCAAATTTCTAGAGCATCTTCCATGCACCTGGGAGAGCTATGAACTAGAAAAAAAATGAAGGAGAGAGAAGGCAAGAGACAGGAAATGTGAGCCTGTGTAAGAAATGCAGACAGAACGTAAAGGATGAGGAGGTGTTGGCAACTGAGGACCTTCGGTAACCAAACTTGTGAAATGCAGTCCAAGTTAGAAATTCTTACATCATGTCCACAACAAATTTAAGTACTGTTAATTGAGCACCTACTAGGTGTAAAGCATTATGCTGGCAAAGTGGGGCTTAGAGAAGAGGCTTAATAGTCCAGGGTAGTTGATTATGTGATTGATTTATTTATTGAGGGAACATTGATTATATAGCTGTTACATTCTATGTACTGTGCTGTATGCCTTGAGACATAGTAAAGACTTCAGTCTCTGTTTATAGCTTCACACTGTGTGGCATATGCTGCATAATTAACCCCCCATTTTTATTAATCAAAAATGCATGTAGCTGTCATTCAGAGTTTCTGATCATAATAAGATGAAAGCAGTGTTAAGCACACTTAGTCTGGCAAAGCCAAGAAGCATGCAATTTCTCAGAAACATTAGAAACAAATTTCTTCCCTCAGTTCACCATCTGTAGTCATGAGATGCTATCCTGGGAATCACTAGTATAAATAATGAGCGTTGTTTATAGAAGTTCAGCACAGGAGTGGGAGAGAGACAGAGACAGAGAGAGAGACAGAGACAGAGAGAGGGGGGGGGGCGCTGGCCCACTTCCTCTTCACAGAGGTCGTCGAATGTCTCTCACATCTCCGCTTAGTACCAGCCGAATGGGTATTCTCGAGGGCAGAACCCAAGTCTGGTTTGCTCACCGGTGTATTCGCGGCAGTTGTTCCGGGACTGGCCGCAGGGGGGTGCAGTATATTCGCTGGGGTGCGTGAACAGGGGATGCCTCGGTGAGAGCCGAAGGAGACAGGCGTGGAGCTGAGCCTGCGGCACAGCGCTGAGGTGTTGTGCCTCCTCCTGCCTTTTGATCTCACAGTTTCCTTCAGAGACGCCCAATCATGGGCTGGTAAGTGGGGGATCCGCGATTTGAGCCAACATCCGTCAGACTCTAAAACCGGCCTCCCACGCAGTACAGAGAAAGTGTGCAGGGTCGCCTTGCTGTGAGCCCTTGTGTGACAAAAAGAAAACATGAAGAAACCATTACTGTTTATGGGAATACATAAAAGCATAGTGTCTTTTCATCTGGAAGTCCTCTAGCTGATAATACATTTATAATTTAATTTCTACAGACCACAGTCCCGGGCAGGAGAAATAATGTAATCCTGCAGCCCCTACAGTCCGATACTCCATATAAAATTACTGTCGTTGCTGTTTATGAAGATGGAGATGGTAGTCATCTAACAGGAAATGGAAGAACGGGTAAATGTCTTTTAAATCTTCAAATTAACCTTTACCAATACGCCTCAAATAGTACATTAATATTGCATTAACAGGTATACGAGACACTGAATTTCATCTAATTGATATGAGATTAGAACTTGTATTTTAACTTTTTAAAGGTCTCCTAAAAGAAGAAAAAGGAGACAAAAATCTCCATGTTTTGCTTTGCTTGAGACAGATTTATGTCTCCCATGCAGAGCCACCGCATATCCTCCGAGCGGGGCTCTGGGTGTGCGGTGCTGGTGAAGGCTGTAGCAGTTCATGCCGTCCAGTTAGCCTCAGCAGTTCCCGACTCCACTGGAGTTGCTGTTTGAATTTGGAAAACTGCTAAGCTTTCTGTGAGCATTTCAGTGCTTTTTAATTGTTTCCTGGATAAGGACATTATGGGTTACTATTAAGTTGCTCTCACAGGACTGCACTTATATCAAAACCCATAATCAATACTCACTAAGTTCTCTGTTCCCCTTATATGCCAATGAAAGGTCAGTAACATGTGCCAATATTTATTTGCAGTGGGACTACTTCCACCTCAAAACATACACATCTCTGATGAATGGTATACGAGATTCCGGGTGTCCTGGGACCCCTCACCGTCTCCAGTTCTTGGATACAAAGTTGTGTATAAGCCAGTGGGTAAGGAAGCACCTATCTTACCACAGAAATTCACTGCAGAGTTCTTTGTGTATGAAGGGTTCTTTATTGCACCCCTAGATTAGATTCTCTTGATAGTTCAGTTATCACATCCTCTCCCATTAGAGCTAATATTTATGGAAATTATGTTTTCAGCCAGTGATATAAATATCACTGTTACTGTGGGTGTAGATGAGACTCTCATTAATTTGCATGATGGAGAAGTTTGACCTGTCCATAAAATTACACAAACTGAATCTGTGTTCAGATATCCTGTTTGTTATTACAGTTATGAAATAATGCATATTTAATCAATATAAACCTCTGTATGTTTCCCATTATGTTAAGGTGTTGTTCTGTCTTGGGCATATGCCTGAGTTTGTTCAGGACAGATTTGCATTCAGCTTTGCACTGAGACTTTCACAACTAAATGGATTATCACATAAAGTATTTGCTGTCTTTTTTCCTGCATGCTTAGCAAGATGGAAGAAAAATATTCTGTACCAAATTTCTAGAGCATCTTCCATGCACCTGGGAGAGCTATGAACTAGAAAAAAAATGAAGGAGAGAGAAGGCAAGAGACAGGAAATGTGAGCCTGTGTAAGAAATGCAGACAGAACGTAAAGGATGAGGAGGTGTTGGCAACTGAGGACCTTCGGTAACCAAACTTGTGAAATGCAGTCCAAGTTAGAAATTCTTACATCATGTCCACAACAAATTTAAGTACTGTTAATTGAGCACCTACTAGGTGTAAAGCATTATGCTGGCAAAGTGGGGCTTAGAGAAGAGGCTTGATAGTCCAGGGTAGTTGATTATGTGATTGATTTATTTATTGAGGGAACATTGATTATATAGCTGTTACATTCTATGTACTGTGCTGTATGCCTTGAGACATAGTAAAGACTTCAGTCTCTGTTTATAGCTTCACACTGTGTGGCATATGCTGCAATATATGGTGAATTCAGAGACAGAATTAACAGTGTTCATACTAGCATATCGGTATGAGTTAAGGTATTTGATTTTAAGAAAAATTTGAGACTAGTGATGGCATATTTCTGTGTCATTTTGTGATCGTTGCTGAAGGTTCCAATGAGCCCATGGAAACCTTTGTTGGAGAAGTGACATCGTACACGTTGCACAACCTCAATCCCAGCACAAGCTATGATGTGAATGTTTATGCTCAGTATGATTCTGGACTCAGCGTCCCCCTGACGGGTCAAGGCACTACCTGTGAGTCACAGATCTTTCCGTGATTGTAAGAAAAAGTGAAGCCTCTGTCAACTTTAATTTCTTCTTAACTTATAAGCATGTTGTTAAGCACATAAGCATTTCCTCAGCCCTAAGTAGGTGACCCTTTTGTATCCAGCTAACAAACATGTGAGTAATGTTTGGGTATACAAAAAACCTATATGATGAGGTATTTTTACTTCTCATAAAATGTATTTTGAACTTTGAAAGATACAGAATTGTAAAAATTATGATTTCTATCCATGAATGAACTTTAGAATTCGACTTGGAATGGTATGTAGTTTTTGACATTTGATGTTAATACATATATTACCTAGATGCATTGATTTAATTGGAAGTTATCATAGAAATGCCATGATTACTGGTTCTGCCCACAGATAAATTTCGTTGTCATCAATTGCTTTTATAACAATTTAAGGGTTTAGCAGGTAGCCTTTCAGAAAAGTTCTCATTGTTTTCCATGAGCTGTCTTTAACAAATGTAGTATTGAGAAGTGAGTGTGGAATTTGATTTCCTTGAAAATCAATGATAGAAAGGGAAGTCTGCTCCCTGACCTTAAGCTATACTACAAAGCTACAGTAATCAAAACGGTTTGGTACTGGCAGTAGAACAGACCAATAGATCAAAGGAACAGAATAGAGATTCCACATATAAACCCACACATATATGGTCAATTAATACATGATAAAGGAACCATGGATATACAATGGGGAAAAGACAGCCTTTTCAATAACTGGTGCTGGGACTGGACAGCTACATGCAAGAGAATGAAACTGGATCACTGCCTAACTCCACACACAAAAGTAAACTCGAAATGGATTAAACACCTAAATATAAGACCTGAAACCATAAAACTCTTAGAAAAAAACATAGACAAAAATCTCTTGAGCATAAGTATGAGTAATTTTTTCTGGACACATCTCCAGAAGGAAATGACAAGGGAAACAAAATAAAAAATGAACAAGTGGGACTACATCAAACCAAAAAACTTCTGTACAGCAAAGGACACCATCAGAATAACAAAAAGGCAACTACACCGTGGGAGAATATATTCATAAATGATTCATCTGATAAGGGATTAACATCCAAAATATATAAAGAATTTATACAACTCAACATCAAAAAGACAAATAACCTGATTAAAAATGGGTGGAGGACCTGAATAGACATTTTTCCAAAGAAGACACACAGATGGCCAATAGGCACATGAAAAGATGCTCCACATTGTTAATCATCAGGGAAATGCAAGTTAAAACCACAATGAGATATCACCTCATACCAGTCAGAATGGCCACTATCCAAAAGATAAGAAATAACAAGTGTTGGCGAGTATGTGGAGAAAAGGAAGCCCTCCTGCATTGTAGGTGGGAATGCAAATTGGTGCAACTGCTCTGGAAAGCAGTATGGAGGTTCCTCAAAAAAACTAAAAATAGAAATACCATATAACCCAACAATTCCACTTCTAGGAATTTACCCAAAGAAAACAAAATCCATGATTTGAAAAGACATATGTACCCCTATGTTTATTGCCACATTATTTACAGTAGCCAAGTCATGGTAGCAACCTAAGTGTCCATCAATAGATGAATGGATAAAGAAGAGGTGGTACATATACACAATGGAATATTATTCAACCATAAAAAAGAAACCCTTCCATTTGTGACAACATGGATGGACCTAGAGGGGATTATGCTAAGTGAGATAAAGCAGGCAGAAAAAGACAAATACAATTCGATTTCACTTATTTGTGGAATATAAAAACAAAATGAAGAATATAGCAGTAGGCTCATAGACACTGAGAAGTGACTGGTGGTTACCATGGGGGCGGGGCTGGGGTGGATGGTTGGAAGGGTGAGGGGGATAAAGGGGCACGAAAATTCTCAATTGTTTTGTAAGTTGGTCATGGGGACAGTGGTACAGGATGGAGACTGTAGCCAATGATTCTGTGTCATCTTCCTACACTAACACATGGTAACAGCACTAGTTGGGGTGAGGAGTTAGCAATGTGGGTAACCGGTGAACCACTGAGTTGTATACTTGAAACCAACGTAAGATCGTGTCTCACCTACACTTCACATGTATATCTATAGCAGGGAGGGGTTTGTGGCTGTCTCACACTTTCATGTTTGTTTCTTATGAGGAAACCTAGTAAGGTTTTAGACATTTTCTTTTTTCTCAGCCACACTGGAGGTTTTAAAATTGTGTTATGGATAAAAGTGTGCTTTTATTGGCTGATATTTATGAAGTAAATCTCTTTCTCTCTTTTTTTCTTTTGTAGTGTATTTAAATGTGACAGATCTGAAAACTCACCAGGTCGGGTGGGATACTTTCTGTGTCAGATGGTCACCCCACCGGGCAGCCACATCCTACAGGCTAAAACTAAGCCCTGCAGATGGTACGTGTGCAACACCTCGTGTCTCAGCAAGAAGATGCCATTTGTTTCTAAAATGATGTGTAAAAATGTCTCCAACTATCACTGATGTGGGCACTGGCATTTTCCTTTGTTGTCATGATCAGGAACCAGAGGACAAGAAATCACAGTGCGTGGATCAGAAACCAGCCACTGCTTCACTGGCCTGTCGCCAGACACTGATCACAGTGTCACTGTCTTTGTGCAGACACCGAACCTTGAGGGACCAGGTGTCTCCATCAGAGAACATACCAGTAAGTTTTCGAATCATTTGGAAAGACTCCGTAAGTCATCAGAGAAGGATGCAGGTGTGGGGGACTTAGGGGGCTCTGTGCGGCTCTTCTCCCCCTGGGCAGCAGTGATGATGGGATGGTGGCAGGTTCCTGAAGGTGGCTCTCTGGCAGGTTTAGGACCTGTATCTGCAGCAAATCCGTGTTGCCCCTGCTACAGAGTTAGCGTCATTCTAAGGGAAGGGCTAAAGAATGGAGGTACGGCTGCAGCTGACAGCGAGAAGCAGAAGGATCCGTGCTCCTGGCCTGTACTCGCTGGACGCTGTCTGACGGCCTTCCTTCTGCCCGTGGCTCTTGGCCCTGCTCTCTGCAGCTGGTCAGTGGTGAATGACACCCATGACACCGAGTTTGGGAGAAGGGGAATTCCCGGCACGTCAGTGCCAGTGAGACATGATTCATTACCAAAGGCTTGAATTGCTCTTAAAATGTACTTCTTGTGGTGTGAAGTGTGTACATGCGGTGTTTTTCTAATTGCTGTTTTTCAATTCTAGCTGTGAAACCAACAGAAGCCCCCACGGAGCCACCCACACCTCCTCCCCCTCCCACAATCCCGCCTGCCCGGGAAGGTGCGTACCCCGGACTGGGCAATGCAGGCAGCTCGTGCGGTGGACAGCCTTCTTATTTATGCAGCCTCTACATTTCCAATTGATATGCAGTGTTTCTGATTTATTATTTTTGCTGTAGATTTTTCAGGATAAAAGAAAAGATTACCAGAATAAGCTCTTCACCCCCTCTGGGCACATTTTGTTGTGAATAAAATTAGCTAAACTAATAGGCTAATCAAGCTCTTCAGTCGCAACCACGTTTCCTCCATTGTGCAGATTAGTGACCGGTGACACCTTACACAGGCCGTCGTCACAGGGCCAGCATTTCTGCCCTCTGGCTGCTGGGTCAGTAGGCGCTGTGAACCTTTCGGTGTCACTCTGCAACCTGGCCCCTGGGGCCCTCGGTTTTGGAATTCCTGGCATCTGACCTGTAAGGTGCCCTGGAATACACAGAGCTAAGAAGTTTCCATGCACCCAAGTTTGAGACATAATTGTCACTTGTTGTGAACTGGTGGAAAGAATTCTGAGAGCTATTAAAACTGGTCTCTTAGGAATTTGGGGACAGTTCTCAGTGTTTTATCAAATTAAGTTTAAAATAACTACTGGTTTATGCTTTATGCACATTCTCTTTCTAACATTTAATTGAAAGCATTTCAGGTTTTAAAAGTATTTTTATCTTAGAAGGCTCTAGAATGCTTTATCTTTATTAAATCTATTAAGCAAGTGAAAATTGAAAGTCTCTCACTAAAGGATAAAATAATACTGTTATTATTATAGGGTTAATAATGGGTTTCTTTAAATTACACAGTTGAAAGAAATTCAGTAAGTAATTTGGCTTAAAAACATGTTAAGTTTTTTTTTCTTAATAGACTTTATTTTTTAGAGCAGTTTTAGGTTCACAGCAAAATTGAGCTGAAAGTGCAGAGTTCCCATAAGCTGCCTACCCCTCACGTGCACAGCTTCCCCCTATCAACACCCAGCACCAGAGGGGTACACTCGTCATGATCTTGGAGCCTGCAGTGACACCTCATCATCACCCATAGTCCAGAGTTTAGGGTTCACTCTTGGCACTGTATACTCTACATGTTAAATTTTTATACTCTAATGTTTTGTTAATTTTTTTTAGCCTATATGTCTGAAAATTCAAACTAAAGACATTATTTTATTCTCTGGCTTTCCTCCCTCTATATGATTTTAGTGGCCAAATTTAAATTTGAAGGACACCTTATTTGCACCAAATTTTTAATAATTGTATGCGAAATCAACAGACCTATGAATGGCTCCTTTTAAGTCCTTGATGTGGTTGCTTTTCGTTTGATTTCCTCCTCATTTGTTGTTCGAAGCTTCCTAGAGAGTTCCACCAGGGAAGAGCATCTGTTTGCATAACAGATCCAAACGGAGTGATTCCAGAGCAGAAACTGAGGGCCAGTTAGAGCAGCGCTTCTCAAACTCTGGTGCTCACCTGGGCATTTGGGTATTGCTGAGCTGATTCAAGGAGTCTGGGGCAGGGCCCAGAGCTTTGCGTCTCTGCATAGCTCCCAGGCGACGCTGTTGTGCATGAACCACACTTTGAGCCCGAGGTGTTGGTTTTATAAATTACACTTCTCAGTTGCATAACTTCATCTGAATGAAAGAGTTCGTGAGGTTCAGGCTCCTTCCTTTCCCCCCCAGTGTGCAGAGGGGCCAAGGCGGACATCGTGTTCTTGACTGACGCCTCCTGGAGCATTGGGGATGACAATTTTAACAAAGTGGTCAAGTTCATCTTCAATACTGTGGGAGCCTTTGATGAAATCAGTCCGGCTGGGATTCAGGTGGGTTTCATCTCACAGGTGGCTCTTTGTTTGTGGCGTCTTGCTCCTTCCTTTGAACTGTCCTTTCTAAGTTTAAGAAAGACTTCTTGCTATAAAGTGTGTTTTGACTTTTGTTACATGCTATTTTCATTCTATACGTATTTTAGGTAAGGAGTTGGGTGTAAATGATAAATAAATAGAAAAATAAATATTCCTCTGGATAAAGCTGAGCATCTCCTCCACTGCTCCCAACATACGCATGAACTGAACACTCAAGTGCAGTGGCTCTGAACAATTTTTGAGGATCTTGCCAGATCCCTCTGAGAATCTGATTAAAGTTATTGCTAACCACTTCCTGGATTCTGCAACCTTGAACACCCACTTCAAATTCCACCCTTTCTGGAGAGGCTTCCTTGATAGCTTTATGCATTCCATCCTCCTGACCGATTTTTGTCTTTACTGCTGTCATGGCAAGTGTCGCTCAGTATTGTCACTATCTGTGTGACTCTCTTCTATCTGGATCATCGACTCCTTAATGCAAGACACTGTATCACATTATTATTATTTTTGAATTCTTTCTTTCCCATTCCTCCTGGTGAATTATCTTCTTAATTTTGGCAGTTCTTCACTGTGGGGTCTTAGAGACATTATGAAATGAAGAGATTTTGACATAAACCACAAATAATCTCATAAATGAATCGTGTCTTCTTTTATGGACTAGTACTTCATACAATATTCTACATTCAGATCTCCAATAATCCTGTGGGTGTTGTTCCAGCCCAGGAAGAGTAAAAAATCAGGCTAAAGTGTCAACAGCTAAGTCATTTTTCCCCTCCTTTTAGAAATTAGTGTTTCTAATAAAGAGTAAAAAATAGCTACCATATTTTATTAAAAAATAGCTACCATATTCTATAAACCAGCTATTTTGTATATGTGATTATTAGTCCTTAAAACAACAGTAGAAAGTAAGCATAATTATCTCCAGTTTTACTGGTAAGGCAATCAAAGCCCAGAGAAGTTGAGAGCTTGCCCAGTGTCACATAGCTATTGAGGGGCAGGGCAAGGGTGTGAGCTCGGTGGGTTCTGACCGCAATGCCCGTGCTCTTCCTGCTAAGTCACACCGCCACTGAGTGTGTGATGAGTGCTAATTAGTATCACATATATGACATTTGTCTGTTGCTGTGAAGAATGTAGAAGGCACTAAGAAGGAGCAGCTGGCTGAGGACCAGTTGCTTAGCCATCGTTTGAGTTCAAGGTGTTCTGTTCTCATTTCTAGTCTTGGCACCTCACTGCTCCCCGGCTGCACCCCTGCTTTCCTACCTCCCAGAGAAGGGCTCCATGTGAATACAGCATATCTACATTACTGATTCTGATTATTGAGTTTCATTGGCCATTAGAAATGAGAAGACGTAATGAGACAACAGCAGTCACTGTTACAACATCAGCTATAAAGAACTGATTTTGTCAGGCCTGAGATACTTTTTCCCATTCTGCAGCAAGAGGAATTGCTGAAAATTGAAATACCAGAAGAGACCACCTTCTGACTCTCACCTCCAAACCACATTCCCTTTCAGGTCTCATTTGTGCAGTACAGTGATGAGGTCAAGTCTGAGTTCAAGCTGAACACGTACAATGACAAGGCCCTGGCCCTCGGGGCCCTGCAGAATATTAGGTACAGAGGCGGAAACACAAGAACAGGTCAGTCGGCCAGAGGGTGCCAAGCTCCTCTCTCTGCCGGGACAGGTGGAGCTGGGTGTGCCATTTCAGTGCTCAGATTCTTATCTGCTGGGTGTGACTGGCGGCATCTGGTCAGTTCTAACCGAGGAGACACTGACGTGTTCCATGCCACGCTCTGCAGGCAAGGCCCTCACGTTCATCAAGGAGAAGGTGCTGACCTGGGAGAGCGGCATGAGGAAGAGTGTCCCCAAGGTGCTGGTCGTGGTCACGGACGGGCGGTCACAGGATGAGGTGAAGAGGGCCGCGCTGGCCATACAGCACTCAGGTGGGCACGGGCGCAGGCTGCACGCGGTGGTCGCATCCCCAGGAGCTGCACTTGGTGGTCGTGTCCCACATGAGCTGGCGCCCAGTGGTTGCACCCTCAGGAGCTGCACCCAGTGGTCTCACTCCCCCTACCCCTGCCAGGAGCTGGTATCCAGTGCTTGCACCTCCCGCGAGCTGATGCCCAGTGGTCTCACTTGGCATGTTAACATTTGAAATGTTAAGTGAAGGCTCAAGAGACCAAAGTTGCTGGTTTCACTTTGTTCCTGTTTTACTCTACTCCATACCTTATAGTGGTGGTTTATATTTAATTATGGAATGATTTGGTATGTGCTCAAAAATGACATGATGTATTCTTTGCATAGAATGTGACTGAGGGTCTGTCAGAGAGCAAAGCTGATTCCCCCATGGCGGCTGGAGGGCTGCCCTGTGAGTGGTGGCGCGGGCCCAGAGCAGGCTTCCTCCCAGCAGTGCATCTTGACGCTGGTTCTCTGCGCAAGGAGAGACATAGGGAAGCCTCTAGTTCAAGCACCTGCCTGCAGATGCAGATGCAATTCAGTTTAGAGAAGCAGCTGCTGAGGAGGAGTGTGGGGGCCTAGGGAGGTGCCCCCAGGGCAGATCTTGGCAACCTTGCTCCCTGAGAGCATCCTGGTGAATCTGCCCTTGGGTCAGTTCATTAGGATTATGAGAGAGGAACTAACTCTTACCAGCATTTGCATTAATACCTCTCTGCTTCCCCAGGTAGGGGTCCAAGGTGGACATATTTTAGAATTCTCTGCTGTGCAAGATTTGTTGTAGCAAATTGCAGAGTACTTTGTTGCATGAAATTCATCACCTGCACGTACACGATCCTTTATCTGGAAGTATGAGTCATACTATCTTTCCTCAGTAAAGATCGTTTTTTCTGATTTTTATAAATTATTGCCTCTATGTTGTGGCACTGTGAGCAGATTCTGTATTTTGCTCTCTTTGCTGATTTAAGTTGGGGATTACGAATGCTTGCTTGAGTTACCTATTTAAATTTAATTAGTCTATTTTTTCTACTTTGACATTAAGATTTTCGAGTGAAGACTTTATTTGCATCAATCTAAATAAGGGAGAGGGTATTGCTGGTGAGGGTTCCACTCTGAGAGTAGCCAGAGCGCTGCCTCGGGCCGGAGTTCACTGAGGAAATCAAAAGCTCACATGTCAAAATGAGGTCATTTTTTGGCTCCTGAGGGAGTCACGCTTGAAATGTTGAGGTGCCTGGGAGAGCTGCAGAGTTCATGAGGCCAGGGAAGGGGATGTGGAGCAACATTAGTCTCTCTGCCATTTAAAAATGCTTATCTACTGTTAGGATTTTATCTTAGAAAATCCGATTAATTGAATTTTTAAAGTCAGAAAATAGGAAGGCTTGGAAAAAGTCCACCGTCATTGAAAGGAGTTTATGTTAGTGGAGAGGACCTGCTGCATGCGCTGGGAACTACGGAGGCGTTTCTGAGGTTTTGCCTTCAGTCGCTGAACAGTCAGGGCAGAGCGGGGTGCGTGATGCCCTCTGTGAACGCCGCCCCGCAGGGTTCAGCATCTTCGTGGTGGGCGTGGCCGACGTGGACTACAACGAGCTCGCCAACATCGCCAGCAAGCCGAGCGAGCGGCACGTGTTCATCGTGGATGACTTTGAGTCCTTTGAGAAGATTGAGGACAATCTCATCACATTTGTCTGTGAAACTGCCACCTCAAGTAAGTCGTGGTCCAAATGGGTCTATCATCTCACTTGTTTTGAAAAATAACTTGGACAATGCCCTATCCTATGTGGGATCAAGTCTGTGTGCATAAATAGGTCCTGGGAAATCACTTGAGGACCTGATGAATCATTGTTCCTACTGGGATCGTGCTAGATGTGTGCCTGTCAGAGGTTCATTTTTAGCCTTGGAGATGAAATATTCCTTGTATGGAAATACACTATATCCTTTCCCACCGTCCCGATGCTTGTGGCAGTTGAGTGAATTAATCTTCCATCTTAGAATGCATTTATAGAAGCATTTCTGAGAGATGAGGGAGTTCCCTATTAGCAATCAATTGGTATTCGTTCTGTCAACATCCATGCCTCAAAGGAGCAATGAAAAAACCCACTTGTGCATTTGTGTGCCATAGAAATACACTTGGTTCTCATTTGTTTTTCTGGATATAGACTTTTCTTATATCAAGTGCTCAAGTTCAGCTTTTAAAATACAGTGAAGTACCAAAGATTAATTATTTAAGTCAGCTTATCCTCTTCCCCATCCATGGGCACTGATTCTGGGGGGTAGAGGGTATGGAGGCATGTAGGTGGCTAGTCCAGCCCCTGGGTCCCAGGCGGGGCTATACTTCACAAGTGTTCTATTTCCCTCTGTTACACATTAAATCAAAAACTCAGAACTCTGTTCGAGTCTCAGCAGTACACAAGTGTCAGTGGTTTATGGCGAAAGCTTACGGTAAAAACATACGGTGAAAGCTTCCGCGGAAGCTCAGAAGGGAGACGCGCTGGCGGCGGTGGTCAGGAGCTGCGCGCCTCCCCGGCGGACCTGAAGGTCACCCTCTGGCGTCTTGGGCTCTGGGTCCAGGGGGGAAACTGCTTCACGTTCGTCACTGTGCCACACTGTTTGGCGACCAGTGTGGGGCTCTGGGGCTTGGCGGAGAAGAGGGCGGGGCAGGGACAAGCTCCTCCTGCCTTTCTGTGAATCTAGAATTCCTGGGGAGAAAAGTTCTTTACTCTATTGAACAGCATCTGAAGTTTCCCCCCTAGAACTCTACTTTACTATTCTTAACATTGTAAAAATCCAGTGGGACTGGAGAATGTTCAGAAAACATTGTTTATGTTGGTCAATAGACTAATTTCTCCTACACATATGAAGTCTGCACAAAATAACTTATAAAAAGTTAGATTGATGCTATTTTTTGTGAATGATTGAACAGTTTCGTTATTTGATATGTGTGCACATCTGCATCCTGTGCCCGTATAACGTTGGTGAATCGTACTTACAGAACACTGTACATTGCAGGTTGTCCTCTCGTTTATTTGGACGGGTACACATCCCCAGGTAAGCATTTTTACCACTGGGATAATCTGTTTGAGAATTTAGGCAATAAAATAATAAAAACGGCCTCATTCCAATGTTTTCTTTTCTTTCCTGATGTGAAGGTTTTAAGATGCTTGAAGCGTACAACCTGACAGAAAAGCATTTTGCGTCTGTACAAGGGGTCTCTTTGGAGTCAGGGTCTTTCCCCAGCTACTCAGCCTACCGGCTTCAGAAGAACGCCTTTGTGCATCAGCCTACAGTGTAAGTGTGACAGCTGCAGGCTCTCCTTCTGATAATGGGCCGGACTCTTTGTTTGAGGCTCTTGGAGTCTTTGCTGACTCCTTAGAGTCTAGGAAACTTAGTCCTTACAGAGGGACCCGGTGGTCTCCGCATCTGGGTCAGGTGCGCAGGGCGCTGGGACTCGAGCCTGCTGTGCTCGGACCCCAGAACCTTGTCCTGGTTCCGCAGTGTCTCGGGCCTCTGGCCTTCTTGAACGGGAGCAGCTGTTCTGGGGTGGGAGCAGGATGGGTCCCAGGGAGCAGGTGGCAGCCCGCGGCGGGCACGGTTGAAACGGTCAGGCCGGCGGCAGTCTGTGTGTACCGGCCCGGCTCCGGCAATCTGTTGGGAGGCTCTAGCTGCTGTTTTCCTAAATGAAAGTTTGCACCTGGGTCTGATAACCAAAATATGCACTTTTTATTCATTAGAATGAAAATATTTGAGTGTTGAAAAATATGTTCAGAAACTCATGGAGAAAAAAGAACAAGAAAAATAAAGCTTTCAGAAATTTAGGACAGGGTCGGGGAACGATGTCTGAAATTTGAAATGCTCTGGGAAAGCTGACGGAAAATTCAGCCCCAAACCAAAGCTAATTTCTTTTAAGGAAGCTCAGGTCATAGTGTTGTAGTCTGACCACACTGTAGGTTCCTGACTCTCTTATGGCTAACCAGGCTGGTGTACAGTTTTAGGGTGTTGAGTGAACCCTAGCCGCCCGTGCTCAGCTCTTACCACGAAGTGTGGCCCCTGCGTTTGACCGCAGCAGCCTTCTCCCTTCTCAAGCATCACAGCTTGTGGCCGAAGGAAACATAAGTGCAATTAAATTATTTTTTCATAAGCACTCATTACTGAGGAAGGGGAAACAGGGCTGGGTGAGGAATGGATTAATATGAAGACTCTAGTTTTAACACGGAATATTATGAAAGTAGCAGTTGCTTGAACATACAAAAGGCAGCGAGCGTGTTAGCTTGCCCAGAACATAGTTTTAAGAAGCGGAGCAACATTGAATTCCAGAAGTACCGATGACACGGTACAAGGACACAAAGCCTCAACGTACATTTTCTGTGTCCTCTGTCAAAATTTTTGGAGGAATAGACTCATTTCTGTCCAAGAGCTGATTGTCAAAGCATTTCTCCTGTCTTCAGGGAGAAAGTGTTATTAAATGGTCTCACACAGGAAACCATTAATTCTTTGAAGATTCCCCCAGAACAATGATTGACTCAAGTTTGGAAGGACACATGGGTCACATTTTTTTTGTCTAACTGCCTTAGAGCTAAGAAACATTTCCTTTTAATGGAATCGCATCCTTTATCATCATTAAACATTTGCACATGTATATGGCCTTAACATCTATTACAGGTTTATTTTGGGGAACATATGAACTTCTGGGGATTATTTGACTTATTTTATTTCAAGAGAGGAATTTGGAAGTGTAAGAACTATGAGATAGTTGGGGGGGAGGGTGGAAATCGTAAAACTTTAAGCCTGCTCACTTGTGACCTCATACTCCCGATTTTGGAAATTACATGTATTTAGCAAGTCATTCTCTTTAAAGTTTTTCCATTGATATAGTGTTTATTACTCTAAAATTATTATATAATTTTATAACCATCTATGTGTCTATAAAAAATTAGTTATTAACAGTAGGAAAAAAGATCATTTGGCAATGTCCCAGACTTTTGTGACTGTATCAGATTATAAATAATCTATTCCTACTTATGTAATGTATCTTTAGTGTTTGGTCTTTTGATGTTTTCCTCTTCTAAATGTGTCCCTCATCTGATGTGCAGCCAGATTATCATAAATGGCTTCTAATACTACCATATTTCATGCTGAATCCATAATGGGATTCTGACCCAAAGATTTAAAATAATCTTTATTTCTGATGAGAAGCCCTTATTAATTAATTAATTGCACTTTATCCAACAGAGATCTACACCCCAATGGACTCCCTCCTTCATACACGATTATATTATTGTTCCGACTTCTTCCAGAAACACCCAGTGACCCTTTTGCAATTTGGCAGATCACAGACAGAGACTATAAACCACAAGTTGGGGTGATTGCCGATCGTAAGGATTTTTATCTTATTTTAAGAGATCTGCATACATATTTTTTATTATCTTTTTGGTTTCCTTCTCTTTTCTCTTTAAGAACCTTCTGAATGTTTATATATTTACTTGACATAGGCTTTTATGTTTAAAATAAAAAAAAATAACATCAGGGAATATTCTAATCACATTTTAGCTCGATTGAAGTTATTGAATTTTCTAGAAACCCCCCAGTAAGATTTATTTGTTAATACTTTAAATATAAAGTACAGCATTCATGTGATTTAATAACGATTATGTGTTGATTACAGCTTCTAGCAAGACATTATCTTTCTTTAACAAGGATACAAGAGGTGAGGTGCAAACTGTTACATTTGACACGGATGAAGTGAAGACATTATTTTATGGAAGCTTTCATAAGGTAAAAACATCAGATTATCTGGTTATTTATAGAAAAAATATAATGCAAAGATTTAAATTCATTCATTTTATTATTTGAGTGTCATTAAATTGGTAGAAACATAGACATGTCTTTTAAAACAATCTTATTTGTGAGAACTTGATTAATTCAAAGAAGAATATTTAAAACAAAAATAATTATACTAATCAAGAGATAACTATTTTAACATTTTGATATATTTTCAATGCTAATATCTTTTCAAAATTTGAGTCATGTAGTATATACAATGTTGTATGCCTATTTTTTTCTATTTACTATTTTATTGGGAGCATTTATGTCATTTCATTTCAAACATTTAATTATTGTGGATTGTACTTTAAATTGATAAAATGATTCTTTTATAGAGCTCAGTAAACTACTTCTACATGCTCACTTACTGAAAGTTACAAACATCACAAACATGCCATTCCAAAAGTTATCGTTATCTACCAAGAGAATTGAAACAATGTTTATGAAATTAACTTTTACATAAAAAATGCGTTCTCTAAAAAAAACTTATCCAAGTTCTAAGGTGTGTTCGTTGGGGATTATCTCTTCTTGTTAATCTTTATTAATTTTTTGTCTGTCAACACCTGAGGATAAAGAGCCCTTATCAGGTTTCTAAAGGATGACTGACAGGAAGAGCATTGAAGTTGGGAGCGTCAGAAATGAAGAGAACAATCTCGGTTACGAGTGGGCTTGTTAGTGGTGTTTCTTGGTCCCCGGGGTCAGGTTCACCGAAGGAGCAGTGCTTGTTGCATGTGTGGTCCAAAACCTCTCGAGCGTGGCACTCGGGAAGTTAGTCCCCGTAGACAGAAGACAAATATTTCCAGTTCAATCAGATTCTCAAGTGAAAATTGAAAAGCTTTCCTGTACTTGAGTAGTCTTAGCTGGATTCCATGCCGATTACATTCCTGAGAATCTTGGTTTCTTTCCAGAATGTTTTTCTTATTCATGAATCAGATTCCTGGTGAGTTGGCAAGGGGACTCCTCATGGAGCTTGAAGAGGCTTCGGAGGCAAAACAAGGAAAGGAAAACAAAGATTTCTGAGTAGAGTTGCACATTTCTCCTTAGCAGTTTGTGGACGTTCATGGTGACATGCAGTAAATAAATGTCCATTGTGAAGTAAATTCTAGTTTGACAAATCCTATTAGCATCAGCTGCTCCTCATCCAGTAAGAGCCACTGAGCCTGGCAGAGTTCTTCTGAGCTGTATCAGCGACACCTTAATTAAGAAAAAAGGGCGTACGTGCTTTTGGCTCATTGATACACTGATTGTACTTTCATTGGAGTAACTTGTTAAAGGTACTATTTTGTTTTCCTTCCATACCCACTGAAGATATTAGAAATGTAGTCTTCTATTAACCGACAGATAACCATTGAGGAGCTACTATTTTTAAATTTCCAAGTGTCATCAAATGCTTCATTTTATTTGAGCAAAAAAGGGCAGTAATTTTGCAGAGGGCTATAATGACAGTTATTATTTTTTTGACATTCCCTTCTTTATTTGCCTTTATAGAGAGATATTTATATTCTTAGGTTTTACATAATGCCTCTTCTTTCTCCTTATTAGCCCTCTTTTCAAATTCTCTACCTTCTTTTTTTCATGATATCTTTCTTTTCCCATTCCCAGTTCCCCCACCCCATTCTTTCAACTTACTCTCATCTGTCCCATCAGTTCCAGGACCAAGCCCCATCGCCATCGGCTGTGTGTGTTTTTTACTGATGCAAGGATTCGAACACTCTTCTTTTACTGCCCATTCTGACGCAGGAACGCATGTTCTTCAGCCCCTGAGACAAGAATTAGCAGTATTCTGATAGCAGGAAATTAATGAAAATAATGTGCAGGAAGTTCTTGGGAGAGAAGAGATAGGCTAAAGAGCTTAAGTAGAGAATGGCGGATACCTGTGCTTCCTAAGGGTTTTCTTGAAAAGTTTCTTTGTGTTCCCATTCTAACAGATGACACAAATCCAAGTGAGAAATTTGTAAAAGGAGATCAAAGTAGAATTGAGGAGATACAAACTTTTAGGGAATGGCAGAGCTTGGAAAGGGAGAAGAGTTGATAAGGGTGTTCCTATTGTTTCTTCTGGTCTGTGACCAACAGTATTTCATGGTTGAGACATTAAAATGCAACTAAACATTTAAAGTACAATAAAATATTGTGCTACATTGAAGAGAATGTAGCACAATATGTTTTTAGCATGTGTTTCTTTAAGGCTAGCATTGAATGGACAAGTGTATTTGGAGTAATTTTGTTACAAATTAAGTTTTGATTTTGAAATAATGTTTCTGGATACTATGATTTTTCAAGTATTTTGTATGTGTTTGTCTCAGAGATTGTTCATACAAGAGCCCACAAATAAGTTTTAGCTCCTATTAGATAATAAATATCTTGGGAATGCTTGTATGATGTTCTTCCTTCATGTTCAATATAAGACGATGGATGGGGGTGCATTTAAAGTTAATTTTTGGTAAGCTATGTACACTTATATACAAAGGCAATATGTGCTTCATATGTACCTCTTACAGATACTCTAAATTAGTGTTTTGGTATTGATTCTATGTGGGAAAAATAATTTACTGTTTAAAAAAATCTTCCAAGACTGTCCTGATGCTTATTGACTCAGAGTATTCACGGGAGTTTCTGTTGCTTTGAACTCGGAGCCATCCTTCCAGAGCAATCAAGCTCTTGCTCTGGGATCATGCTAAGCAGAAACCATGAGCATAATTGTAAACTCAGAGATGAACTGCAGCCACTCTTTATATTGTTGAAATATCAATGTTTTATTAATTATCTCTACTAATAGATTTCTTAAGATTCCAAGTGTCTTCAATATCAGACAAGAACAAAAAACAAGAACAAGATTCTTTCCTTATAAGGAAACTGAATCTTGACTCTGAAGATGCCCAGAGCTGAATCTCTACCGAAGATACGTGCTAGTCCTTTCCTATGTTACACATCCGTAGGGCGTGCAAGTTCTTTTTGACTGAGATTAGAGAAGAACAAATTAAAAATTGAAGTTAGCAAAATCAGTGGGAGACATTCAAGGCTCCTTAGTACTGAGTATGATATATTAATGATTTATTAACTCACATTTGAATAGCTGGTCATCTACTGCATTATCCCTGCTCATCTCAGTGAGAGTACACAGGGGGAAAACAGAGATTGTGCATGTATATGTGGATGAAAGAAACTGAGACCCAGAGAGGTCAAGTGGCTCATTTAATTTGGATGTTTTATCAAGTGACACTGACGTTATTATGATTGGGTTCTTGACTTTTTAGTCCAAGACTGTTGATTTGGGATGAGAACAGCTTAACAAGCACAGTTTTTAATTGTGATCTTAAATTTTGCAGAAGTCAGGCAATCTTTTTGGGGGTGGAAATTTTATAATAGAAACAAACGATCTTTTTAGGTTCATATCGTGGTGACCTCAAAAAGCGTTAAGATATACATCGACTGCTATGAAATCATAGAAAAAGACATTAAAGAAGCTGGAAATATCACAACTGATGGTTATGAAATTCTTGGAAAACTACTTAAAGGAGAGAGGAAATCAGCTACAGTAAGTAACAGTCTTAGGATTCTCAGTGTCTTGTGTTAAAATTGAAATGGCTCTCTTAAAGCCATCAGTGAGCTCTTTCCTCAGTTTTAAATTGTCAAATTTCTTGGTTATATTGAAACATTGGAAATGTTACATTGAGAAAATAAGTTCCTGACAGACCACAATAATGTGCTTTACTGCAAGAAACAAAATAAGATGTCAGGGCACCAGGGAGCATCATGGAATCATCTTGAAACAGGATCCAGTGGGAGAGAGCAACACAAACAGTTGCCAGGAGAATCAGTGAAATCTAAAATAAGCTAGTTTTTGTTCTTCAGAGATAGGAATTGTTAATACAAATGTGTGCAAATGAGACATGAAGCCTTCGTGGACATGGCTGCGACCCTCTCCGGAGCCTGTGGTCGTTCACAGGGAGCTCTCATCTGCCTCCGAGGGAATGTCCGTGTAGCCAGCCGACCTCAGTACTCGCAAGCCTCACAGGCTCATCTTGGAGGCAGAGCATGCCAGCCCTGCTTGCACAGCCATCTAGCAATACAATTTTAAATCTAAGATTTTCACTGTATCAGGACAATTGAGTTCATATTAGATGTCAATCCATAATAATATTATTCTAGAAACAAAGCAATTATTTTTTTAATTGCTTTTATTTAGCTTTCTCCCATGGACAGGATTATCTTCTCTTAGATTCACAAATGAAATTTTTATTTCGCAATGTAGAAACAACTAGTGCAAATTTAATCTAATTGTAATTAAAATCCAGGCTTTTTACTGAATATTGGATTTGATATGTAAATAGACAATTATATCAGGTTTCTAAAAAGATGGCTATCTCCAAACAATCTTTTCCTTTTCATCAAAAGAGCTTTATTTTTAAAATGTAGATAGAAAGTATATGTGAATTTGAAGTTGTTGAGTGTAATCATAAAAGTTATTAGCACTAATAATTCATGAAAAGAAGAACATCCATTTTAGAATAAGTGAGGAGTGTTTCTTTAAATGTTATTTTTCTACAAGGGTGGACTCTTAGAAGTTGATTTAAATGATGTGTGTAGTCTTCGAGTTCTTCATTAAGTAAATTCTTAATTCTTAATTAAATGAAGAGATCAATATTCTCTTAAATAACACTCAATCAAACCTTTCATTTTAGCCAAGGAAGTAGTGAATCAGAAGTGGGCATTTCACCCATGCATTTTGCTGTAATGTCCTTCTCTTTGTCATATGGTTTTATGTCCTTTCCTTATGCGTGAGAAGTTGGCCAAGGTCCCAGGGTGGAAACGTTAATACAAAGCGTTTTTCATGCATCTGTTCGCTGATGTTGCTCTTGGTTGTTTGCAGTTCCAAATCCAGAACTTTGATATCATCTGCAGCCCCGTGTGGACCAGCAGGGACAGGTGCTGTGATATTCCCTCTAGGGTAAGTAACCGGATTGGAATCCTGTCTCCCAGGAATATGGGATGCGGTGCAGGTGGTCTGGGCAAGGAAGTAGCGTCCGGCAACTGCGTCTCCAGGCTGAAGCCAAGGGACTCAGCTCCCACGGCTCAGGCCAGTGACCCTCCCTCAGAAGCCAGGAACACACCCAGCCACAGCTGGAAATTCTCCCTGACAGCCAGCGTGGTTGTGCACAGTCACAAAAGTCCTGCTGAGTCATTGTGTTTGATAAACCCACTTATCGCAGAGCCTTCCTATGGCCTGTAAACTATCAGCATCTTATGGAACAAGCCATCACCTGCATAGCTGAGGTTTATAGCAGAAACGAGCACATTGCTCCCGAGGTGGTGGCTCCCCGCAGTGTCTATAAGCAGCAGTGGGCACAGAGGTGGGCGCTGGCAGATCTGCGGGTTTTGGCAAGCAGGGAATTGCATATGACTATGGGACGGGGCATCATTTCCTCAACAGTGTTCCTGAGCACCTGCCACAAGCCGGGCCCTGTCCTGCGCGCTAGTGTTGCTGCGGGGCAGACGGAGCGCCCGGTGCAGGGCGGGGCAGGGGAGGAAAAAGTAGCAAGTAGACAAATACTGTTTAGAGTGAAAGCTCTAGGATGAGAAGGGAGCCCCAGGTAAGTGGTAGGCAGCTATGTGGGTGCCCGCCCTCCCTGCCAAGGTTCGATGCAAGCAGAGAGCTGAGTGAAGAGGGGGCCAAGGTGGGCAATGGGGAGAAGCATTCCGGGTGGGCACAGAGGGCCGTGCATACCCGAGAGCCGTTCTGTGGATCCGTGGGGCTGGGCGGAGAGAACGGGAGGGATGGTGGGCAGTGGGCAAGTGGGGGGTGCCGGGGTGCAGAACGTGTGGGCCTTGTAGGCCGCGGGGAGGATTTAGATCTAACCTAGATGAAACGGCCATCGATATTTGAGATACTCAACATTTCTCTACCACCATATTAGAGAAAAAACTGGGTTAAATTACTCAGAGTCCTCGTGGTGGTTTCCTAACTATTTCTTTGGTTTGGGGATTTGCTAAAGTAAAGCGTAAAGATGTAAAGGAGCAGACCAAGAGCCAACATAAGAGTATTTATAATGATAACAAAAAATTATTCCTTCAAGTTGGGACACAGATTCCCTTGTGTATATCAGATAAGGAGATGTGTATAGGAAATGGGAAGTCACTTTTACCCTCAATTCATATGTAAATATTCTTTTCAAAATTTCAGAGAGACGAAGCAAAATGTGCTGCTCTTCCCAATGCTTGCACGTGTACACAGGACAGCGTCGGACCTCCAGGACCCCCGGGCCCCGCGGTAAGGAGACGTTTTTTTCCCTGTTGGGTCTTTGGAGTGATCACCCTTTGCCAGGAGGCAGTGCATGAAAGGCCCCCAACCACCCGTGTTTTCTGGGACGGAGCGAGCTACCCTGCAGACCGTTTTTGTAGTATGGTTTGAGATCAGAGAGGACTGCATTAATATAGTTTGAACACACTTGAAGACATTTCTCTGGCCATGCAGGAATGAGTGGTATTGGCTAGTAGTCAACAAAGAGCTTTTCCCTTAAACATGTGAATCTGGGTTTTCACCTGTAATCACATGGTTTAGAAAATTCCTTACACCTCCTAAAAACTTCTTGTATGTATGTTATGGAGCCATGGTTGAAAGACTCACCCAAGGGCAACTTGCTGGGAACCTAGGACACCTGTACCTTACGTAGCAGACCTATCATGACAGTGGCACAGAAAAGGCTCATTTACATATGTGACGGTATTGTGAAGTCTGGGTGGCAGTACTACGGTTTAGAGTAAGCTCAGTGAGGAGACTATGGCGAGGTCTGTTCATGGAGGGGAGGAGGCCAGAAAATGCGAGGCGGCACCTTGTTGATCGGCAGCAATAAATCTCATTAGCCATTGTGGAATCTGACTTAGTCACGCCAACATCTGGTCTGGGCTATTTTTGCAGAATGTAAGTGATACCCCTAAACCCTCTTGGCATCTTTTAAGAAAATATTTAATTAGCATAGGAACAGCTTAGAGATTCTCAGAACATCAAATTTTACAAGGGTCAATACAAATAATATGAATTGATTTCAGGTTAATTACAAATCAGCTCCTCATAGACAAAATCAAATGTCACTGGCATTATCACCATTTATTTTTTATTAACAGTGACTTACCTGGTTTATATTTGTAATCATAACATTATATCCTGGATAGGACTTGGGTGTTTTTGAGAAGCAGGGATTTTCTTCCTCTGTCTGAGACAACATTGGATACCATTATCATATTTGCTTTTTTTCACTGGTCTCTGAATTCCTGTTACTAACCTACATGTTCTAAGATTCTGAGAGAGTCAAGATACTCTTCTCTTATTATTTATTAGTATTTATTATTTTCCCTGAAGAATGCATTCATATAATTCCAAAGTAGATTTTTCTCTTTATTTGTCATGCTTGCCTTTTCAGTAAGCCTCCTATTTTCAAAGGAACTTCAAAATTTGCTAACAAGAAAGTTCAGAATGTAAAAATGAGACACTTTGAATGTACAAAGTTTTGAGATTCTCCTTCCCCACGTATCTGTATGATATGAAATATTTGCTTGAGTATTTTGTAAGTAACTGTACACAAAGTATTGATTGTCAGGAGAATGCACTGCTTCTAGAAGCAACTTGTGTGCATCATCTTCTTTGTACTCGCCTATGTTCCCCCTAAAAATGTGCTCTCTTTGTATTTTAGGGAGGACCTGGTGCTAAAGGTCCCAGAGGTGAAAGAGGTACCAGCGGGGCGGTTGTAAGTACCTCTTAGAGCACAGTCACAGGTGCATCAACGTGTTGAAGTCTGGTTGTTCAGATTTCACCCGAGGGAGTCTGTGACCTTGACTGCCTTGGTTTATTACCACCGTCCCATCTCTGGATGTCAAAGTGATGGGTTATACCAGCCACAGAGGGAAACGTACAGGGCATCTCACTGCCCTAGAAACTCACAGGGGAAATCGCAGAAGAACCTGAGGGTTCTGCTGCAGCCTGAGGAAGTGGGGGGACCTGGCCTCAATCCAAAGAGCCCGCAGGGTGCGGAGTCCCTGAGAGCTGGAGAGGGCTGGGCTTCAGGGAACGTGCCGAGAGGCCATGCAAGTGGTCACTGGGGGTCACCGGCCCCTTCTCCCAGTTCCATACCATCTTCCGTAAAACATCTCCCGCTTCCTAGGGGAACGCATTGTGAAGAAAATGTGTAGTTTTGTCTTCATGAAAACTAACCCAGTTAGGAAGGGGAAGCTGGGATGCTAACCCAGGTCTGACTCCAGGTTCATGTATTTTCTATTAGACACATTCAAAGAAGCTCCGGCAGAGAGCATCTGCTCAGTGGATATCTCTTCTTTCCTTGGTTTATATGTGTTTGTCTTAGAAAGAAGCCCAAGTCTAAACTAGCTTAAAATAAATTAAATCCAATGAAATTTGAGCTTTGATTTCATATGAATCTATGAACATAAATATATGAGCATATTATTTTCAATGCATTTTACTTTTAAAATTTTCTAAGAGGACTTTTGGAAATTTAAATGCTCTTATGAATTTATTGCACTTCCCACTTGTCCTTTAGATGAGTAGTAGAGGGAAGAAGGGGATGATATGAATAAATACTTCTGTAGATGTGGAGATGTCTAGAACGTTGGCAAAGATTATATGACTGGTGTTTTAGAGGGATGCAGACGAGTTTCTAACTGGATGTTAGCTCTGAAGGATCATTCTGTGACTTTGTGGTTGTTTCTTGTGTGTTTTAGGGGCCTCCTGGCCCTCGTGGAGATACAGGCCCTCCAGGCCCCCAGGGTCCACCAGGCCCCCAGGGACCCAATGGACTCTCTATTCCCGGAGAACAAGTAAGCACAAAGGCTTTTTGTATTCAGTGAGGATCGGGGATTAACACTGAGTTTAACTGGAACATTTAAAAATATATTTTGCTAAACTCAAATGTTTTCTCAGATTATTCAACAAAGCTAGTCATTGAGATGACTTCCTATAACTATAATCTCAGATATGGAAATAGTGTATGTAAAAGTATATGACTATGTAGAAAAAATTATTGCTACTTATTTGAACTGTAAAGAATTTTTAAAAAGTAAATTGTGAATAGATCCTTCCACATCCTGAAAGCTTTGAATCTGCTTTAAATCTGTGGCAGCCCAGGGGCCCTTTTCTAATGTTTATGACCTCAAGACAAGCTTGCATTATTTGTCCATGTCACCACTTATTTAAAATGTTTTAAATAGAATGTTTACTTTTTGTTTCAAATGCTAATCTGAAGTTATAAAAGGTTTTATCTTTTAAAGCTCATATTTTATTTAACCACTAACTTTTCTTCTACACGTTAAGATCAGACAGACATGGATGTGAATGAGACTATAACTGCGTAGTTTTAAGTTTAAGCCTAAACTCTGAGATGCCATAGTGTTGGATAGGTAAAGTTCAGAGGAAAACATAATCTATATCGGACGTAATCATAAGTAAAACGTGAAGGAACAGGGCTTTCTTGCTCAAAAGGGTCAAATGCCCCTGCTTTTACCTTCTTATGTCTAAAAGGAAGTTTCAGGAACTTTGATGCTTTCTTCCTACTATTAAAGCAAGCTTATCAGTTTTAATTAATTCAGCTTTGTCTTTGTACCAAGTATCATCTGGCATGTAGTTCTTAAGACCAACGTGGTATCACATTTCATTGACTCGCTTCCTAATAAAATTAGCGCCCAAGTAAACATATTAAATAAACTTTAAAAAAGCTTTTCCTTCAAACTTTACCTCTATGAGAATCCCTTGCATTAAACTGTGTTCTTTGAAAGTAGGTATATAATCCCGTAATTATATAAAATCATTAAGTCCCATTGTAAGTGGAAATTGTACCACTGGGCGTTTCTAAGAAGTGAGCATCCATCCAAGAAAATGATCCACCCTCTCCCTCCACCAATCCGGTGCCGTCGGGTCCGTGACATCACGGAGCCTCCCGAAGTGACTCACGTCTCCCTTCTACCTTAATCCCCGTGCGGCGCCGCGAATGGTCTCCGCTGCCTGCCCCAGGGCCGCCAAGGGACCAAAGGCGATGCCGGAGAGCCAGGACCGCCCGGCCGAGCCGTGAGTTGTCCCCCCATTTGCCCCTTTGGCTTGTCAAGCGCTGTTCGGAAAGCTGCCTTTGCAGCGCCCAGAGGGCGCGTGGCTGACCTCGCTGCGCGCTCCCCACTGTCTGTGCGCGGTCCGCACGTCTGTGCTGTTCAGTTCAGGCGTCTGCTGGCTGAACGTCTGCTGTGCGGCCGGCGTGCTCCCGGCCTGTTTTTCTGTCTCTTTTCAGAGCCCCTGAACCAACTTCTCTTTCTCCTCTTTTGCAAATACTTTGAAGACTAACGAGTGTCCTCCCGTGCAGGAAGTCTATCAGCATCTCACTGTTCGTCTCCTTCTGTGTAGGGAACCCCGGGATTGCCTGGCCCACCAGGGCCCATGGGACCTCCAGGAGACAGGGTGAGTTTTCTCGAGCAGCCTTTAATGATGTTGGAGATGGTATCACATCGTTGCCTGTTAATTAAGAACCCTCCCCAATTCCGGCTGCATGGTTGAAATGCAGAGTTCATGTATCCTGTGGAAAGCTGGAAAACTGTTACCAGCAGGTCATCCGACACCAGATCAGTCTCAAGGTCAATAAAACAAAACCGGGGACTCTGGGCGAGACCTTGAAATTTTGATCTGGAGAAAAATTTTCTGTTGTGTCCCATTAAAAAAAAGAAGTCCATAAAAAGAATTTTAGCCGATTACAGAGAGATTCAAGAATACTAGGAAACTGCTTTAACTCCTAAGTACAGTCTTTGTTATGAGGCAGGTCGATGTTAACTATGAGACTAGCCTCGGTTTCCATGGCACTTGTGGGGAAGTCAGGGTGTCTTTCCTATACGTTCAGAACCCAAACGCCAGTTCAGGCCCTGAAGGCGGCCGAACCGCTGGGGTCCGGCAGGGACTGTGTCCATTCGTGGCAGCTTTCCAGCCTTGCTCTTCACTTACTGATAAAATCTGCAGGAAGACCCCACCTTTCCTACAGCAAGTAAATGAGAAGCTTGGTGAACATGGCCTCTGTGCTATTTAACTTTACAGAGACGTTTGATTTCATAGGAAGCTGGAAAGGCTTTGAGAAGAGATTTTGGAGTTTCTCAGAACCCAAGACTCGTGACTTTTGAGCATCTTATGGTTCAGACAACAGTGTTCTGTGCTCTGACTTGACAGTCCAGTGAGAACATCCAACAGGCAGCAGGGTCTGGGAGGGCCAGCCCTGTCGATGTCACGATGCACGTGGTTTGTTGACCTCAGTACCTCTAAGACACCACTGGGCACAGAGGCGGGTCACTGAGATGAGCAGAGATCTGCCTGGAAAGTACCGAATGGTGCGTGAGAGGCCAGGATGCTCTTTTGCCTGCAGGCCTGCCTCTCAAGTTTGGGAGAAGCGTTCTCTGGGAGCCTCGTACCTGGGGCTGATGATATGTAGTCTTCTGACTCCTTTAAGACGGGCACTGCAGTTGTTTTGAATCCTTATTTCACACTAAAGGACAATAATGAGATTGAAAAGCTGACAAGGCATCTATTCAAGTAGAAAACAACCAACCGCTGTGGTCCTGAAGTGACGGTGGGCAGCCCACTCCATTGCTGTGGGAGCCCCGTTGGGCCCACCCTGCCTTGCTGCACACGCGGCTTCACGGACGGGGGCTCCGGGCAGACACGGTGGGCACCTGGCACACATCCCGTCAGCTTGGTCGTCCTGCACCGGCAGCCGGGGGCCGTCGCCGCCATCACTTCCCCTCTGAGAGGAGGGGCTGGAAAGGACTGTGTTTTCCCTCACAGATTCTAATCTGTGAGCCCAGCTCTGTGGTGAGGCCCTCCAGGCCCCCCGGGTTGAGGGTGAGGCAACCAGGTAATCACCCCCTCTCCCCCTCACAGCCTTGTCCCCCTTCCCACCACTACTGCTGAAAGTGGGGCACACAGCTGATGGGACAGAACCAAATCTGGGAAGTTAGGTAGACTTTGGGTACAGGCATCTCAGCTGAAAAAAAGAAAAAGAAAGAAAGAAACTTGAGCCCTGTGGTGGAAGAGAAGAGAAGCAAGCTCAGGAGAGGAAGCCCAGTGGTCCAGGTGGGGAAGGAGGCCTGTCCCCGGGATGGAGGCCGTGGGCACAGGATGCCTGGCATGACCGCAGCGCAGGCGGATCTCAGTGAGGCAGGCCGTGGGGGCTGGAGGGTGACGGAAGAACCACAGGTGCTGGTGTCCAGTAAGTGTGTGTCAGGAAACAACCACACGTCTTCGCAGCCGTCCTGACGTGCGGGAGGGAGGCAAGCAGCACTGATGGCTACCGCTTTGCAAATGGGGAATAAAACAAGTTACAGCACAGAGTTCCACAGATGGCTCAGGGGTGGAGCACATCTGAGGACGTCAGAATAAAATCCTCCTAACCTTGGCTTAGGTACTTGCTTCTTCCGGAAAGAAATGGTTTGCTCAGACTTAAGTGTCCATTGACACATGAGTGGATATAGAAAATGCAATATGTATGTAAAATGGAATATTATTCAGGTACTTAAGTATAGTATATATATATATATATAATGGATAATATATAGCATATATATATATGTATGTATAATGAATGCATATAATGGAATACTATTCACCATTAAAAAAAGAAGAGCCGTCATTTGTAGTGACATGGATGAGCCTTGAGCGCGGAGGACATTATGCTAGATGAAATAAGGCAAGCACAGAACGATAAATACTGGGTGCTCTGACCTCTGTACGGAATCTAAAAGAAGCTGAGCTGATGGAAGCGGAGAGCAGAATGGTGGCCTGACAGTGGCCAGGCTGGGGAGAGGGGAAATCGGACATGTTGGTTGGAAGGCACAGAGTTTCAGGTATGCGGGGTGAATAAGTTCTGGAGCGCAGTGATAATAGTTAATTGTGCTGTATTGTTTATCCTTGAAATTTGCTAACGGAGTAGGTCTTAAGTGTTGTCATCACACTCAAGAAAATGATAACTATGGGAGGTAATGGGTGTGTCAATCATCTTGATTTTGGTAATCATTTCACAATGTATATGCATGTCACAATACCGCATCATAGAACATAAATATATACAGTTTTTATTTGTCAATTATGCCTCAATGAAGCTGGGATAAAAGAGAAAATGGTTGATTAGGAAGTTTTTAGACTGACTGAAGGAGAATTATTCAGAAATATGATACTTACCTAAAAAAAAGAAGCAAAGAATGTCCTATATAGCAGTAGGAGAAATTTAATGGAAGAAATGCCAAACTGTCCAAGCCATACTCCCAGAGAGCATTTTTACTTCTCAAGTGGCTCTCAGGGGCAATGCTGATATTACATCAGATGTACTTGGAATAATTTTTTTGTTAAGCAGGCTTAGATCATCCAGAAAACAATCTGAAATCTTGATAAGCTTCTGAAAACAAACAAACAAACAAACGAACAAACCTGGGTGATGGGGTGGAATATTTCTAACACAATTCTGAAGAAATAATTTAAACTTCCTCTGTGTAAAACCAATGGAAATATGGATACTTAAAGCAGGCAGTGATGCAGTTGTCCTTGATTTTTGCTAGAATCCAAGAATATAGATGAAATTATCACTCATATTCTCTGCAGAAAATGGGACAAAAATCTCTCTTGACAAAGGAATGCAACAACTGTAAAAAATGACTGACTTCAAAATCCTCTGCTGGGTTTCAGAGATCTGCTGCTGGGACGCCAGCTAACCTAAGCCCGGGCAGGTCACGGGCATGGGGCGGAGATGGGTGGGGAGATGCACTGTGCCACCCAGCCCGACACTGACGCAGCTCTGACTTTTCCAGTGAGATAAGGAGGCAGGAGCCACTAAAAAACTAACCGAGGATTTGGTTTCCTTTCTTTCAAATGGAGGGCGGCCAATATGCTTCCCTGTCTTATTGGGGGAGGAGAGAAGCCCCCGGTAATGGAGACTTCAGCAGCCCTGCCCTGGAAGTCTGGCCACTGCGTAGGAGGTGGGGAAGGGAATTCGCCCCTCAGTGGCTGGCCTTTCCTTCATGTCTGATGATACCGCGGCTTTTCTCAGCCACATTCCTCTCATCCCACACCAGTTTGAAGACATTCACTGTTCAGTAGAAAGGGTTGGCCTTCTCTAACCTTTATGCTCATATAAAAGCGAAAGCTGGTATTTTCATAAAAGCAATTCACCTTCTTGGGAGAAGACGGGTTTGACTCTTAAAATGATTTCATTTATAACTGTGTAAATTAATGAGTATAGAAATTATTCAGCAGAAGTCATGAATTGGAAAGCATTTTTGTGTGTGTGTGTGTATTTGTTGAAAGTTCACCTACAATTGCGTTAAATCCTCACTCTTAGCAACCTGTATAGCATCTTTCTTTTTTGCTTGGTCATTATTTCACTAATGCATAATTAATTTCATTTTTACAACAGGGCTTTACTGGAAAAGATGGTGCAATGGGACCCAGGGGTCCCCCCGGGCCACCGGTAAGAATGGAGTGGGTTGCGTTGTGGACTCCCTGCCCTACACCCCCGTCCCTGTTGGCCAGGGAGAAGCCTGGTAACCTGGCCCCAGAGGCACAGTCCATCTGTTCTGTGGGGGACACTGTCCCGGGGAGCTGTTTGTTTTTGTTTTCTAAATCAGAATGGACTAGAGAAAACAGATGTGTTTAAATGCAGTGTCTTTCTGTTTAATCAAGTTGTGTTTGAAAAATAGAAAAATATCCCCATAGAAAAATATCCCCAACTAACTTGGCCACCAGCCGGTCAGCTCCTTGCATCCCTACTTTGAGTGGTGGAGTTTTATGACTTTACTGGTTACTTCCTATTCTAGAATTTTAAGATTCTGTGGACCATGATATCTGAATTTTACAGATATTTATTACTGAACAGCTTTCAGTCATTCTGAGGAAGTAAGTTTTAGCCAAGTAGGTATAGATAATATCTTTGGGGAAGAAAAAAATGAAGCCAATGATTTGAAAGTGGCCACCTGTATAATCTGTGTCCAGATGAGGCTAAAGTTAAATTGTTTGAGATGATGGATGCCCTTCATGTCTCATGGCGGAATGTGAGGACTCAAGAGCATATGTTAAAATAAGTTTATGATTTATGTTTAATATGTATGTTCTCAGAGTTTCAATGTACAGTAAATTTCCATTTTAACTATTTACTACAAAGCTTAAAATTTACACAAATAATTGAAGTAAAGGACTATTTAAAAAAATCAGATGATTCCATTTTAAGGAAATTTTAGGCCTTAGGACATAATGTATTGACGAGCAGATACTACAAATAGTCTAATAAAAAATACGGCTAAAATGACTCAAAGTTGTGTTAAAAGCAACAGGAAGAAAGCCTCATGGTTTTGCTGGGGTGTGGGTGCTGGTATGATGGGACAGCTTGGAGGTGTGGAGAACCATCCAAAGAAAAAGTGAATGTCCAGGCTCCGCGGACACAGAGGACTCTGCAGCCCTGGTGCCCAGGATGGCACCAGACAGCTACCATCCTGACTCCTCTCCAGCCAGACTGTTCTCTCCTTTCTTGATAGGTTTCTGGTTTGGTAATGGAAATAAACTAGAAAGCAGGAATTGGTAACCAAGTTACTGGGGTCACAGTTTGTGAATTGTGAAATTGGTTATATATATATTTTCTCAAATGGTCTGAAAATACATTTTAGAGCTATACAGTCCATAAGGATTGAACAGGAATTTTCAAGATTTTTTTCCTTCATGTTACTTTAAAATTGGATTTTACACTTCCTTAATATGGGAGTATCTGCTATTTCTTGCAAAAGCTTTTAAACTGGCCCCTCTCTGTTAGTGGCTCCCCATGAGATTCTTCTTGCACCCTAACATGCCCGTTCTTGCCCTGTGTGTTTGCAGGGGAGCCCGGGCCCACCGGGAGTCACCGGGCCAAGTGGGAAGCCAGGAAAACCCGGGGACCACGGCAGACCTGTGAGTGGACCTTGCATGACTAGAGTCATTTCACTGTGGTCATAAATAATGAGGGGGCTTCCAGGCTTTGGCACAGTTACGTTATCTCTGCTGCAATGTGTTTTTGAAGCATTTGCTGAAATGATGCTAAAGCCCTGGATAACTTGGTACTGGTTCTAAAGTTTTCCTCTCTGAGTTATAATATTCTGGGATGAAAATTGTGGTCATAGAGTTTCTTTAAAAGGAGAATGGGATTAAGAGCCAAGGCACATATTTCTACACTGTATAAACACTCAGAGCTGGGTCAGCAGAAGGATTTTTTTCTATTTAGGAGTGGTATGCTGCTTGAGATAGAAAAATACATGGTGGCGGTACATGGCCTCTGCTCTGCGGATATTAACCCTTTTCCAGCCAGTCATGCCATTTGCTCTTTTCTCTGTCGTTGTGAGGATGTTGGGACATGTGGTTCCAGAATTAAAAGTATTTATCTCATCTACTATTTTATTTTTTCATATTGTCCTGCTCCAATTTATATCCGGTTTAATGGGTATAAATTTAGTCAGATATTTTGGTTAATATAATAGTTGAGATGGCATTATACATATCTGGTATTTTCAAACTAGGATCTCCAAAACTGAATTTGAAGTTCCTAAAATATCCAGCAATGCTTGTAATGATTACTGAAGTTCATAGTTTTCTTTATAAGCTCTTCTTTATTTGTACAAAACATGAATTTATGTTAGCAAGTGTTTTTTGTTTTTTTGGTCTGAGTAGAATTCTGAAATATAAAAATTTATCGTAAGGATAATTAAGTCCAACTATTAGTGATGACACAAATCTATCAGGACTGTTTTTCTGGACAGAATTTCTCTAAAGTATTGTCCAAGTTACATAAAACCAATTAAAAATTTTTTTCATGTCAAACCAATTGAGAGTAGAATCTTTATGTGCCATGGCCTGCCTTCTGTGTTTACATAAAATTAAGCAAGCGGCATAAAGGTGGAGGGAGCGCTGATGTGCCTTATGATCCGTGTGTGCCCTGGCGTGCGAATTGATTACTCTTTTCCTCAATCATGGTGGAGACTTCACAAGAGCAGTTAAACTCTTCTGCCCATTCAGAATTCTATTTTATTGTATTTTTCCATGTAAGAATATTACCGATGATCAGTGGCTACAGCCAGAAACCTGAAAGAAGCCTCTGCTTCCTTTATTTGAAATGTGATCTCTAGACACAAGCAATAAAGATGATTTCTACAAATCAGATACACCAGAACGGTCTCAGAGTGGCAGTAAATTAAAAAACCATACCAGGAACAATCTCAAAGTAGCAGTAAATGTAAAAAAAAAGAATTCCCTACCATTTACAAAAGGCTATAAACTAAATAATAGCATTTCTGTGAAGAGAAGGCAGAGCCCAAGTCCTGATTTCTTAGGCGTATGAATTGGTAACGTTTCTTTGGATCTTATCTACCCCCTTTCTTCCCTCTGTCTTCCTTGTCCTTCTAAGGTGGCAAGTTGCCCCTCCTGTCCTGCCCTATTCTATGCCACTGTTAATTTCCAAGCCTCATGCTAGCAGCTGGGTGTCTCAGGGTCTCTGCTGCAGAGCTCAGCTCAGTCACTGTCAGCTTAGGTCCTTAGCTCCTGTGACTAGTCGCTGCCTTGCTGCTCTGACGACCATAAGCGCTGTTCTCAGGAGCTGCCTGTGGGATATTTGCATCCATTTACTCAGTACCTCTCCGTGCTAGTCAGAGACTTCAGAGGCAGCAGTGAACAAGCCCTTGCCCTCATGGAGAGGCCAGCAGGGGACGAAGACCAAGATCATAAACAAACAGTGAGGGTTGTGATGAGTGACAGGAGGAAAAGGCGACTGAGCACGGTGTCCGGGAGGGACTGCGGTGGGGGAGAGGTGGCTGCCTCAGATGCAGTGACCAGGGGCCTGAGGAGGTGACGCTGCAACGGAGGGGTCAGCAGGCTGTCGGAAAGGCTGCGGGAAGAGGAGTGCAGGCGGTGGGAACGTCCTGAGCAAAGCCCTGAGTCAGGACTGAGTGTGGCATGTGAGAGCAGAGGGGCCTTGGGGCCAGCGGGAGGGGGTGGGGAGGGAGGAAGCAAAAGGAGGTCAGGGAGTGCGCACGGGGCCCGCGGACCAGCCAGCCCATGAGAAGGAATTCTCACTTTATGCTATGTGTGGTGGGAAGCCCGTGGATGACATCTAATTTTCCTTCTGAAACCATCCCTCTGGCTTCTGTGTGGAGACTGGACTCTAAAGAAGCAAAACGGGCAGCAGGAAGACCAGCGAGGGCACTGACCGCAGGATTCAGGGAAAAGCCTGGGGACTCTAAGAGGTGGCTCGGTTTGCGATGTTATCCGAACTCCACACTTGTCAAGGGTTGGATGTCCTTTTCATGATAGTAGTTGGTAGCCTGGAAACATTTTACTGGAAGACAAAAACTTCTTGCACCATAAGAAAACTTTTTCCAAGATCTGGTCCTGGCCAGTGAAAGGCCTGACAGAGAACAGACAAATATTCTGTGGTTGCATTTGGATGCGGGACCACCATTTGGACTGAGTTATTTAATAAGGGAGACACGTGGTTCCTTTTATACCCAGTGCACAAAATATCACTAGAAGAAGTCAGAGAAACATATTTAGTTAGGGAATTGACACAAAACCCACTGGTTCTTAACTAGAACTAAACCAAGATGAACTTTATGGCCACCCAGCCGAGCTACCCAGCCATGGTCATGTGAAGGGAAGGATAATGGTACCAAGGGCAATTCTCACATGCATTTCAGTTCCAGTCCTATGTTGTGAGTGACATCAAAAAAATGTATACATAGTATTTAACTTCTAAATTTGATCATAAAATTCACATCTTAGTACTGTTTCAGAGGATGTGCTACTCAGAGAGAGAGAGGGAGAGAGAACAGATTCGTTTTAACAGACAAGCAAAATGTGAGTGACATGGACATAAATGTGAAGTGTCATTTTGCTCATTTGTTAGAAAGTTGCTCTTTCATCATGTCCATTCACGATCATTTTAGACCACATTTGTCAACTTCTAATACATGGAATTTCTATATTTCAGGGTCCATCTGGATTGAAAGGAGAGAAAGGCGATAGAGTATGTATTTCTTCAAAATAGACATTCATTTATTTTGTGTGTTAAACATTGACGTCCACAACTATAGTGATAATCCGCTAATGATTCTCATTGATTTACTCAACAAGGGAGACATTGCTTCCCAGAACATGATGCGGGCCGTTGCAAGACAAGTCTGTGAACAGATGATAAGTGGTAAAGTTTATTTTCTTTATAATGTGTCAGTGGTTTTTAAATTAATTGCTGGAAAACGCAGAATTTGAGTCATAAACTTTCTAAGATTATGTTTCTATTTCATTTTGGATGGTCTCTTATTTTTATACATTGTTAGCTTTGTATCTGGTCAGATAAAGCTGCTGATGTTTTAATGATTGTCGTTCAGATAAAATAATAACCCAGCGTTAAATAATAGGCTGTCATCCTTATATCTATCTGATGTGAAATCATATTTTAAAAGGGCTTTTCGGTTTCCACATTAGGATTTGTGGGGATCTCCATCTGGGTATATGTAGATGCAGCCAACATTGCATCTTTTTAAGTCGTGACCTTTAGGTCATTCTGTGACTTGCAGGAAGGAGGCCCACCGAGATTGCTTTGCTCCCAGGAAGTCTGGGTGAGGGCCTTTCCATTTCCTCCTGATATTTCACGGGCCCTTCTTGCTCCGGGAGGCCTGCTATGCGATAGAGCTCAGTGCGGGAAGCTGAGTGTAGCCTTGAGCCCAGGGGTCCCTTTCCCAGTGGTCCTAATCGATGCTTCTTGAAGTGTGGTCCTGTGGAGGACCCCCATCCCAATCACCTGTGGGCCACACCCGAAAGCTGGTGGGTCGCTGTCTTTGGAGGTGAGGCCCAGGGTTCTAGCTTTCAACGTGTCCCACAGGTAATTCCAAGGTATGCTAACGCGTGACTATCATTGCCTTAGGTACACACAGAAATGGTGTGATTTCTCAGCTTAAAAAGGCCCTCTCTTCAGTGCCACCACCTGGCAAACCTCAGGGCAGCATTTCAGCCACATGAAACTTCTACAGCTCTTCCTGCTGCTGGGAATATTTGTGACCTACTGCTCAGTTCTCTGTGGAGGCGGTTGTTTATCAGGGATCATTTTGTCCGGCGTGACTGGAGTGTTTCATGTTACTTTTAGGATCCTAATTAGAATGTTTCCTTAAGGGGGGGCGCGGAGGCGGAGAGAAGGCAGCCTCACCCTCCCCTGCCCCCCTCGCTGGGTTTCTCACTGACAAGTGTTTCTATTTGTAGGTCAGATGAACAGATTCAATCAGATGCTGAATCAGATTCCAAACGATTACCACTCCAGTCGCAGCCAGCCAGGCCCCCCGGGCCCGCCGGGCCCCCCTGGCGGCGCCGGAGCCAGAGGAGAACCGGGCCCTGGGGGGCGGCCGGGCTTCCCGGGCACACCGGGCATGCAGGGACCCCCGGGCGAACGAGGTGGGCGTTTCTGGCAGCTGCAGAGGGAGCAGGGGAGTAGTTTGCTGGCGTAGGAGGAGCCCGGTCAGGGCGAGAGGCGGGCGGGAGTCCGCGCTGGCAACCCACTGTGGTCAAGCTGGGATCGGGCAGGGGAGCCGCGGGGCGGGCCGGGGGCAGTGCCCCACAGGCCCCCGCAGGCCGGAGAGGCCGCGTCTTGTCTTTGCAAGCAGGAGGATTCTGCCAGGGGACCTCAGTCAAGATGATGCCGTTTCTGTGTTGTTACTGGGAAAGTCCGCATCGGAGCAAACTGAATCAGGCCCTAAACCTTCCTGACTGTTGCGGCTGCCGGGCGGGGGGCAGCAGCTGCACCTACACGGCCCCGCCCTGGGCCCACGTGCCTTTGCTTCCTTTATTCAGGGCTGGCACGGGGCTTATGTGCCTCTTTGGCTTTAACATCACAGTAGATGTGTGTAATTGGAGCAAAAGAAGGAAAATAAGATTCAAAGTAACAGTTATCATTCTGGAGGAAACTTAGGCATTTCTATAATTCGGATGGTTTAGGTGCTGTAGGAAAAGCACAAAAGATAAGATACCTTTGAGGTGTTTTTAAGTGAGTTGTAACTGTTTATTCAAGGTTTCTGTTCTTAATTACTGTTTCTAAAAATACATATTAGACATGTTTGTTTTCTTCAAATAATTTTTCCCCTGACTTGTAGCCAGATTTGTTTCTTGGCCATGAATCTGGAATTACACAAATGTCTAGAAAGAATTTGGCTTAAAGAGTAAACTTCTGTGAAAAATTAGATTCTGCTTTCACTGAGGAAAATGAGTTTGTTGAGTCAAGTGTTATCAGTTAAGATGGAAGCTCCGTGTTTTCAGATAATTTTTTTCCTTACGTTTTTTCTTCTTCTCCTCCCTCAGGTTTGCCAGGAGAGAAAGGAGAACGGGGTGTTGGCTCTCCCGGACCCCGAGGGCTGCCCGGACCCCCAGGTAGGTTCACCACGTCACATCAGAGGTATGAATGGTGGCAGAACATGCAGCCCCCAGGAGATTCACGACCTCCTTGTGGTAGCTTCAGGCAGGCCTGCCATCAAGGAGTGTATTTTAGCAAGAAGCTCAACTTGTATAACCTCTTCATTTTTATATTTCTGCTCAAAAAACATTTGAATGTGTTCTCTTAAGCATTTACTACCCTGTAATATATGAGGGTATGAATTTCAGTGACATAGAGCTTTGCTGTTTTTTTTATGGACTTCCTATTTGGTTTGGCCTCAGAGCCTTTATAGATGGTGTCACTTGCTGTTTATTTTAATACTGTTCAGGATATACTTAGTGGACTGAAATAATGTATCCTCACTAAAAAAGCCTGCCACTCTGGAATATTTCACTCACAGATGTTGTGGAAATAAATAATAGCCAGTTGCCTTATGCATTTCATTTACTTGGTTGAAGATGAATTTGTTTTCTTCATTGTCAGGTCCATGAGACCCTTGTAAGCGAGGTCAGAGCCCTGGGGGTTAAATCTTCTCAGTTATGTTAACCATAAATATCACTTGGTCCAGAAATAACACTGCTTCAGGGTCTGGAAGTGTGGAACAGGCACCCCACCGGGCAGTCTGACGAAGCCAGCGGGGCCATTTCCTTCTGATAGTCTTGTTTCTGAGAGTGGAACAAATCAGAGAACCCGTGGGTATTCTCAGTTTGGCTTCACTCTTGCTAAGCTAGTTTTCTTTGCACTAATTCCTAATGAACCACTGGTAAGAAAGTTCCGTACTTCGTTCATCCGGACTATTTCTTGAGGAAATGTTTTCTTAACCATATGCTAGTGAATCTAGTCCTGACGTAGTAGAGGTGCCCAGTATTGCTGACCGCCTCAGGACATGCAGGTGGCAAGAGGGGAAATATCTGTTTAACCCACCCCAGGTCCACAAGGAGAATCCAGAGCCGGTCCACCAGGGTCCACAGGGTCAAGAGGCCCGCCTGGGCCCCCTGGTCGTCCCGGAAACTTAGGTATCCGAGGCCCCCCGGGCCCTCCTGGATACTGCGACTCATCCCAGTGTGCCAGCATCCCGTACAATGGGCAAGGCTACCCAGGTATGTCGTGGCCGTGGTAGGGACCCAGACTCACCTGAATTAAAGAACCTTTGTGGAAATGAAGTTCCCTAGGACTTAAGGACATTGACTGGAGGTTTTCTTGAAGATATCAGCTCTTCTAGTTGTATGTTCTGATTATGTAGTAATATTCTTCTTTCTCAAAGCATAAATCATTATTTCATTATTAGGAGCTGAATAATTTTTTTCTTCGTATAATTCTGCATCTACTTAATCACATCATAGACCCCTCCTTATTTCTCTTGGGAATTCAAAGATTGCTGCCAATTGCCTGTTTTGTTTTTTCCAACTAAAAGTTTGGGAACAGGAACTTGTCCTTGTAGAATGCCAAGACTATATACAAAAAATTGTCTTGGGGCATCTGATACAGAGGCAAACTGTTTGACAGCCTGGGACAGGTGACAGAAAATCATTCACTGTCTCACATGATCCGTGGAATTAATAACTTATAAAATCTGGGACTTAATTTTTTTTTATAAAAGTTGGTGGTGAAATTCTAGTGTTTGACGACTATAGATGGCAGAAGCCTGATGTGGGGGCATGTGGGGACAGAAGAGCTATGCTGATCTGGAAATAAACAGGGCCCTTTCCACCAGCACACCCTCAAACATCTTGCAAGTTTTAAAAATGATGCTGCTGTTCGATATGTTGGCTACTGGCGAATAGTGCATGAGTAGTTGAATATCCAGATATCTATATATCTATATATTTATATGCATACTTATATGACTGAAAGTCATAGTGACTATTAAGGTAAATTTCTCATGCAACCCATTCATGAAATTACAATTGAACTCTTTACAAAATACATTTCAATTATCTGTGCTTTGTGGTACATGTGAAGAACTGGAAATATATGGATATATATATATATATACTTTAACCAACAGATACTTAGATGGATGTGTATATGTATTTTTTGCATAGTAATTCAACTTTTAAAAACTATCATCTTTGACCTGTTTCAGGTTCCGGCTAACACATTTTCTAAGTCGCCAGTGCTGCTTACAGTTTGAATACATGAAAATCCTGTTTCTGAGATGTTTGCGCACGTGCTTATTAGGAAATGAGTTTGTATGGAGATCGCCCCACAGGCGTGGTTAAGAACCGGGTGGACATCATAAAGGGGGGTGGAGACTCTGTACTAACTTGATTGAGACAAAAGCAGTTGTGTTCGTTTATAAGCCTGATGCATTTCAGTAATAATGTAGAAAACTCCTACTAAATAAGCGTTCAAACACACAGCCATGAGGAGCCTCAGCTGTGCAAGAGGGGCGTAATGAAACTACTAACCAGTGGAGATGATGCTGTTTTGAGCAAAACAATTAACCTGGTGACAGAGAAACATCTTATGTACATAATAAACTAATTGTGGCTTGTAAATGATTTGTATGTGATTGTCCACTAAAATCACTTACCAGCTCCGCAGTAAGCTTCTGCCTCAAGGCCTGCTTCTTGCTCTCTGCCGAGGTGACAGCGAATGGAATCTCATCTCTTGCTTCTTAGCGACGGTCTGATTCAGGGCATGTGTTTTACGATTTTTGTACATGTACTCACCTTCGGGTTTTGTAATTGCAACTTGCAAACCACAGTTTTACAGTCACTTTCTCCCCATTTCGCTGTAGTCCCTGGTGTTCCGCACCCACCAGCTGTACCTCAGTGTGTGGGAGGGACGCCCCCCCTCAATGGCATGTACTGTATCTTACCTGGTCACAGCGATTTCACCTCCAGAGGCCACAAAGCTTCCCCTCACCTCCTCATCTCTCTAAAATGTGCTTTGAAACGAGGAGTTTGAAATCATGAGCGTTATCTGAGAAAACCCTATGTAGGCCCTACGTTTACGGCTCCTCGGCCCAGGCTCTGACCGTCCCCAGGTATCTGTGCAATGATTGTATTTACTGCTGGATCTTTGAAGGTTAAGCCATTTCATATTTGGTCGCCCCCAAATTCCCTCTGCAAATGGAAGTATCCGAACATCGTAACTCATCTGTTTGTAGCCATGAGCTTAGGACGGGCCGCCCCCGCCCCGGTGGTGACACCCCCGCTGCGCGCGCCCCCCATGCGCGCGCTAACTGTGCTGTTGACTCGGACAGAGCCCTTCGTGCCGGAGCGCGAGCCCTTCGTGGTGCCGGCGGAGCCCGAGCGGACGGCGGACGAGTACGAGGACTACGGCGCCGACCAGCCAGCGGCCGGGCGCGCGCAGGGCCCCGCGCAGTGACCCGAGGCCGCCCCCCGGGAGGTGCTGGGACTGCCCTTTGCAGACCGGGTAGAGCGGCGCGCGTCCCAGCCGAGCGCCCTTTCCCGACTGCAGAGAGCCTGGCCCTGCAGGAAGCCTCACTCCCTCCCGACGCACAGTCTGTAGACTCCTTGTCCTTTGCCCTTGAAATGCTTGCAAAGCACTTTGTTCACAAAAGCTGCAAGGAGAGAAGGTGCCTTGTGCCTCTAGCACCATGGGCAGCCTCCGTGAATCGCTTAGGTTAAGCAGTAAGTTCTGGAACCCAGAAGTACTGTGTGCTTTTTCCAGTGCTCTTTTGCAAGTCAGTTACACCACGATTCAAGGAATTTCCTTCCTGAAACGAAACCGGAGGGAGAAGTCAGCCCCCTTGCAGTGATTTATCTTCCTCGCCCTCTTCTGCACACGTTGGAGCGTAGGATGCTCTTGCACATCTCCTTTAACAAGCACAAACCTTAAAGCCGTGTAGCTGAAACTCTTGTATCAACTGGATACAGCTCCATATTGCCTTAAATCTCCTTGTTTTAGACACACTAACATTTATGCCAAATGGCAGATTACTCTGCAGAGATGGAATTGCATGTTTGTGTTGTATATTTAGTATGAACTTTTTTTTCCAGAACATGTTTCTTAGTTATCAAAAGCAGTTGGAAAATGTTTGCAAGACTATGAACATAGAATTGCTGCTTTTATATTTTAACTGCAGATTGTGAATTTCACTGCCTTATATTATTTATTTCTGAAACAAAAGAGGCATTTTTCAATAAAACTACTGAAAATTTGACATGGTGTTTCTTCTTGAATGGCCTTTTGGACTGTTTAGGCTGTTGATAGAACAAATAAGTTCATATCCTTGGATACAGTTACAAATCTTGGTACTACTATTTAATGATGCTAAATAATTTTAGATTTTTAATGATATGGTGAAGTCATAGAGAGTGGTAAGAGCCTTAAAAAGCCCAAAAGATTCCAAAGTCTTTATTAGGAACATAGAGGATGTGTGGGTGGGTGGAAAACAACTAGGTATCCTAGGAGACCCCAAACAGCCTTTAACCACCCACATGATTTCATATGCATTTAATCACTTTCCTATACCATACTTTACCCAATAGCATGTTTAATTACAAAAAGAAAAACTCCTTAATAGAAAGTTTACATTTAGTGATACCTTTCTTTTGTACCTTTACAAATGCAATATCATTCTAAATAGCAAAGAAAATAATGTAAATGTTATTTCAAAAGAACCAACACAAGTTGAAGAGAGAGAGGCAGTAATAGGAAAATTTCCACAGAGCAAAATTCCTGAGTTAGATACTTTCTGGAGATCAAGATCGAGAGGAATAGACAATAAATGAATGTACTGTGCTCAAGGCTTCAAGCAGACTCATAGCACCCACCTGTAATTCCCAATATGTGCACTTTGAAGTTAGAAGAGACCAAGGAGGTCATCCCATCTCTATGTAGGAAGAAACAGATTTCGCTGATTAGTATCCAAACAAGATTAAGAATCGAGGTCTGATGGTTCTTAACCCAGTTTTGTCGCCTGATACTGTCCTCTTCTCTCCCTCTTCTTTTGTGGGGACACATGTTCTTGGGGCAGGATCCTTCCAACCTCAAAGTTCTATGAATTTATTGTGATCATTTTCTGTTTCATTTGGCTTCTGATGAGACATCTACGAGGAGCCTGAATGCCCGGGGCACTGGCCCGCCTGGTCCCAGGCCACAAAGGTCCCACTTGCTCCACTGGCCAAGTGCAGGTCTGGTCCTTCAGGCCGGCGATGCGCTGACTGACACCCTCTGGTCTGTGCTGCGAGAGGAGTTGAGGGACCGGGCAGTCGTGACCAGTGATAACTAGCTGGTTTTATTTTCAGATTTGCTCTTGAATTGTTTGCTGAATCTTAGGTTAAAATTATTCTGAGCGATCACTGATCTGAGTGCACATGACATGCGGTAGGGAGAGGACGTCAGGTAGTCTGAGTTTGAAAACTGGTGGTAAAACCCACAAAACCAAACACGTAGGTGCTGGGTTTTTACTTTTTTAAACTTTCTTTGGGGAAATACAGAACAACTTGAAATACTTCTGAGTCTTTAGATTTGAAAACATAAGAAATTCATTATTTATAATTTGTATTTGAAGCCAGGGCTCTTATTTTTAACAAACTAGCCTGAAGTAACTGTGGGAAGAGGTTAGCTTCTAATGAGGTCTATAGTGGGAAATGTTTCAAAATTTAGAAATAACACATAGACCTGAATTTCTGAGTATTTTAAATACTTTGTACAATGGGATTAACAATTTAGCAAGTTTAACAGGTGGCTGCACATACATTTTGTCAGATTTCTGAACATTTCATTTTGAATGTGTAAAGAATTATACTGCTTATGCAGTTGCTCAGACTTAACATTTTATTTTTAATACAAATAAGGTCAGTGTAATTGCTCCTAAATATTTACTATTTATGATATCCATTACACTGTATTTGGCACATAAGATATCCCTCATTTGGTTTTAGTTACAATTTCTCCATAGAAAAAGTTTTCAATGATTTATTCTCCCCCTGTGGTCTGAGCACTTTATAAAGAATAGCCACTTTCATAAAGAGTAAGTGTGGTATATCCTTTATTTTCAAAGACACTCTTTTAAGTAAAAATTAATATTGGTACCTAAGTCATCTTACACCTGTGGTTAGAAAATGAATTTAGATGTGACTGCCTCAGTGAACATTTATTAACTTTTTCACTCTTAGATCTAGTGCTGAAGGTTACCGGGAAAATCACGTGGACTTCCTGTCAGGAAATGACCTGTAGGCTGGATACTTGCAGATCCTGTCTCCAACACGCATGTCTTCCTGGCTCCGTGTCAGTATGTCCGACTACATACCCCTCCTCGAGGTTCCACAGACACCTCAAAATAAACACATCTGATATTTCTTAGGATTAGAATCAGCTGTGATTCACAAAGTCACAAAATAACTGACTTAAACAGGTAGAAATGTCTTTTTCTCATGTTTACCCAGACTCTTTTTATTGGCTGCTCTGCTTTCTGTGGTTCCCATGGGCTCGTTAAACTCATGGTTCAAGATGGCTGAGAGCTGTCATAGTTCTAGCTATTCTGTCCATGTTCCCCTGAAGGAAGGAGGGAGTGAAGAACCCCTACCCCTACCCCTTTAAGGACACTTCCTGGAGGTCACAAACACAACTCATAACAAATTTTTATTATGTACCATTAGCCAGAACTTAGTCCTTTAGCTACATCTAGATGTAAGTGTGAAATGTTCTTTTAAGTGTCCATGTACCAAACTAAAAATCAGCTACTCTATTACTATGCCAGAGGGGAAATGAATACTGGGGGTCAACTGAAGGCTTTAGTCTTTGACACAATGTGCGAGTCTGATGTACTTTCCCATAAGTCTGATTTTCCTCCATTGTCCCCACCAACCATCAAGTTCCTCAGGCTAGAAATTTGAGAGTCACTGAGCCTCATCTTCCCCTTCTCACATCCGATCAAGTCTGGCTAATTGAGCACCTACATAGATCTTAAGTCACCTTGTTGTCACTCCTCCAATCCTTAGCCTCTTCAGTGAGTGATCCCAGCACCTCCTGACTTGACCTCGAAGACCACCGAGACTCCCTGTGCCTCCCAGAGTCGCTGGGTGCGGGGGGGGAGGTGCCCTCCTCCCTCCTCAGCACTGTTTCCAGACTGACAATCCTTCCCTCCGGAAAAAGCCTTTATCGTTCAAGACTCATACGTAACTTCCGTCACTGCCATCTATTTACCGTATGCTCACTGCACCCCCATTCAGTCTAGGCTTTTGTTTGGGGCCATCAGTGCCTTTATCCACCACAGTATCCACCATCTTCTGGGTCTTACCCACCCAGGTTGGATGACCAAGCCCATGTCACCCGTCAGTTGACCTTCCTATCCCGCAAGAGCTTCTCTTTCACTCAGTTTCAGCTGTTCAGTCTCCCAGGCTCTTCCCCTGGACTTGCGCCAAACTCCCACTACTCTGAAATCACTGATTCAGACACTCCACCCTTCCTGGCTTTTCAGCACACCCCCCAGCCCCCCAGCCCCCCCACCGCCCCCACCCTGCAGCCACCTCCAGTTCCATCATGACACTCAGCACAGAGGGCCCTTGTTCTTCTCGCCCGTCGGCTTCTCCTCGTCTTCCTTCCTCGTCCGGCTGCGACTCCATGTCTTGGTCACATCCCCAGTTTATTGAACAGCCTGAAGTCCGAGGAGTGCAGAACTTGTTTTATTTTTCCTTAGCCACTATCTTTATTCTCATTCTTATGGCCATTTGTCCACTTCTAGTCAAAAGGCAAAGCGCCTCTAATATCCTATTGTCCAAACGAGCCAAAGCCCCTTTGCTCCTGCTTCCGTCACCGCGTACGAAACATTCAACTGACTCCCGATTGTCCCGGCTGCTGAGAATCCCCATGACTGTACCTGGGACACTGGAGCACAGACGGAAAAAGATCACACTTTGGGGTGATTGTTGTGTCTACACATCCATTACGACTGATCCCAAGCTCCCTGTGAACACCGCTCAGGAATTTGACCAGCCATATTCTCAACCCCTTCCCTGCACCCCTGAACCCCAGCCCTGCCCCTTGACCTGACGACGGGCTTTCTTGCTTCTCCTCACAGACGCAATATGGAGCCAAACCGGCCCTTCTTCCCCCACCACGGCTACCAAACCAGCCGCTCCTGGACGCAGCTTTCCTCCCGTCTCAGCTGGAGGAGCTTCTCTGCTCCGGGACCTCTGGGTCTTTCTTTATTCCTTCCACAGTCACTGGATTGAGTGCCTACTCGGTGTGAGGTGCTCGTAGGAGTGGTGCTGGGGCTCTCTGGGGGGCACAGGGAGATGCAGACCCAGTCCCCCTCCTGGGCTCACATGATTAGAGTGAGAAACAAGGACCAAGCAGGCAAAGCATGTGGTCAGAGGGCGATGAGGCTGCGAAGGAGAGTAAGCAGGCCTGGAGGACAGAGGACGCTGGGTGCGTGATGGTGGGTGCCCTGCGTCAGGCAGACTGGGGAGGAAATGAGCAGAGGCCTCAGTGAAGGGCGGCTGAGGACACGAGGCTCCAATCTGGTTGATAATCTCATCACCTGGATTCTTTCATAAGCATATGCATTGCCAGCTGCATCCCTAAGGTGGACTTTGCCCACAGACCGGTATCACCTGGGGACTTAAAAACTGTCCTCTGAATCCTACTCTCGCAAATCCTGCTTAATTAGACCAGGGTGAGGTCTGCTGACAAGGATTTTTAAAAGCTTCTTAGGTAATTATGTACAGGTAAGGAGACAAACGACTTTCTAGAGATTCTGATTCAGCACGTTGGAAATGGACGCCGGAGAATATGCCTGTTTCAACTCTGTTCCTTTAAGTGAGTCCTACCATCAGACAGGATGGGAGAATTTTATGCGTCTTTCTTTGGCTTTTGATACCATTGTTATGCTAAAGCTGTGTGTCTAGCTCGGTCCTTCCTTCTGATCCCTGAGGCGTGCATATCCAGCTGCCCTGGCACAGCTCCAGCTGCACGTTTTGCAGGCATTTCAAATTCAGTAAGAACAGAGTGAAATCCCTCACCCTTCTTTCCACACCGGCTTTTTTTCCTGCAAGACAGTTTTTTGTCCCTGGGAGCGGTATCCTTTCAATTGTTTAACCCAGAAATCTGGGAATGAACGTGACTTCTCTTTCCCTCACCTCCTACATCCCATCGTCACTAAACGCTTTCCATTCTGTCTCCAAAGCACCTTCCAGCGGCTCGGCCGTCTGCGCCCCTAC